TCCATAGACAACTGCAAACATTAATGGGCAACATCCCAAATGGTGACTTCAAAACCCTTATGGGCACCATGAATGCGAAATCCGGAGCAGGCAACACAGGAGGTGGACTGATCAAGAGTCGAAAACAGAGAACTCCATGCAAACTTCTGCGCCTTCAATGATTTGGTGATCGGAGGCAGCACAAGTATGTACACAAGGCAACGTGGATCTCATCCAATGGACATACCAAGAACCAGACAGACCTCATCTCAACCTCAAGGAATTGAAGACTCAGTCTAATGAACACAACATCGAGAAGAAGGGCAAGTATTGGCCCAGACAACCGCCTAGTGGAAGGTATTTTCGAGGTCAAGCTGAAAGCCGTCAAAGCAACTGGAAACAGACGACGATTCAAGTTCAACACTCAGGAACTGAAGGACGAAACTATGAAAGACACATTCACTGAAGCTATCGGAGGCCCTACTTGGCATTACTGAAGACACCTGTAAGGGAGAATATTGGAACTAATTCTCTGAAGGTTATGCTCAAGGAAACCTGTAAAACTGTTTTAGGAAGAAAGAAGAGTCAAGACAAGAATTCGCTCTCAATGGATACGTGGAAGCTTATAGAAGAGAGGAAAGTGGTGAAACAGAGGATGGACCAATGCAAAGATGGAAAACAGAAGGAGCAGCTGAGAGTTCAGTGTACATCCCACTGAATAAAGAAGTGAAGAATAGCACTAGGAAAGACAATTCCATCACACACTGGCCGGCAAATGAGGCAGAACAGGCTGGCCGCAGGTGAAAGATGCCTCAGAACATTATAGCAAATAATCAAGTGTCTATCCGGGAAGAGGCCAACCCATATGATGAAACCTATAAAAGACGGTCAAGAGAACCTACCAACCAAAGAGGAGAGACGAATAAAACAATGGTCTGATCACTTCAAAGGACTCTTGGATCGACCATCACCTACAACTCGTCCAGAAACACCACCAACGGCACGCACACAACTGCCAGTGGACCTCCAAACAAAGCAGAAATCCTCATTGCGATCAAGCTACTGAAGTCCAGTTGGGAAGGCAGTTGGGCCAGATGGAATTCCCCGTCAAGCTGAGAGAAAGAGAACCAGAGACTGCGGGAGATGTGCTCACGCCATTATTGCAAAATGTTTGGAAGGAAGGAAAGTGACTACTGACTGTAAGAAAGGCTACCTCGTCAAGCTACCAAAGAAGGGCGACTTAGGTCTATATAAGAACTGGCATGGTATCATGCTCTTGTCCATGCCGCGTAAAATACCATGTCACGTTGTTCCGTAGAGACTAAAAGATGCATTAGGTGCAGAACTGCGCACATAATAACCTGGATTCAGGATAGGCAAATCATGTGTTGATCAAATTGCGACTCTATGCATCGTCCTCGAACAAAGCATAGAATGGCGGCCAAATCTCCACCTCAGCTCCATCTATTTCGAAAAGGCCTTCGACAGCGTTGGCCAAGAAGTACTTTGAAAACTACTTCAACACTACGGTGCGCAGTGCCCAAATCTTTATCAACCTCATTCAATAGCTGTCTATATGACAATGCCACGTATCTGGTGATCCACAACGGAAAACTCAGCGAGGCGTTCGAAGTGAATGCAGGAGTAAGACAAGGCTGTCTGCCTATCACCGATGATATTATTAATTGTGGTGGACTGAATTATGCGTCAGACTGTGGGGGCGAGGAGACAGGACTACGCTGGATCACTGATAATAAGGCTCTAGTAGATCTGCATTTCACGGATGGATGATTTATGTTCAATGTCACACAAACTCGAAGACTTAGAGGCAGGCGAAAAGCAACAAACTGCCTGAATGGGCTGGCAGTAAAGTCAGGACTCTGGGTGAACACAGAGAAGACGGAGGCGATGAAGATAACCAACCAATAGCAACAACAACCAGTACCAATCACCATCAACGGGAGAGACTTGACAGAGGTTACCTCCTTCACTTATCTACGAAGCATCGTATCAACCACAGGCGGAACGGACGAAGATGTCAAAGCTCGCCGGCCAGAATCGGAAAGGTAAGATACGCCTTCATCGACCTGAAACCAGTTTGGAAATCTTCTGCACTCAGCATAAAGAACTAGATTCGGATTTTCAACACAAATGTGAGAGTCAGTCAGTTCTATACGGGTCAGAAACTTGCACTGTGTGTGACGAAGACGATTTCCAACAGTTTGTCGCAGACTTTTATCGACAGCAGCCTTCGCTCCATATTTAAGATGAAGTGGCCAGAACGAATTAGTAACAAGAAACTGTGGGAACAAACCAACCAAGAGCCGGTCGCGCAAGAAAAATGTAAGAGAGAAAGGGAGATGGATCGAGCACACATTGAGGAAGCCATCGAATGACATTGTGCGCCAAGCCCTCGAGTGGAATCCAAGTGGGAAGTGACCAGTGAGTCGTTGGTGCGAGTGTGACATGGAAGAGATCGTGTGAGGAAGAGATGAGAGATTATGGTCAACCGTGGACCCAGCTGAAGAGGATGGCAGAAAATAGAAGAAAGTGATGTGTTTTTGAAGCCCTATGTTGCACTTTGAACCTAGTGGAACAATAATAATACACTGGGAAATACACACTAGCAGTGATATCAACACGTTCCTATCTACTCGTTGAAGAACAAATTAATGATCATGCGAATTCGTGTTTCATGGATAAGAAATGTTACCTATATCTAAAACGACTATTTCTCTGTTCAGTAATTAATGCTCCCAATGATGTTTACGTGCATAATGAATCAGATGAAACTAGTCCATCTTAACAACTGGTGTTAATTTTAGTACGAACATAGCCAGGATAAAAATTTCATTAACAGTTTGTCTCGGTCTATGATACCAGATATCAGATGGAGAGAAATGATTAAGAACAAGGTGTTCTGGGAGCAAACCAACCAAGAACCTATCACTCAAAATATATGCAGGAGGAAATGGAATAGAAACACGCTGAGAAAACCATTGTGTGCCATCATACTGCAGACCTTCCTATTGGAAATAGAATTTAAAACGAAGAATTAGGCGTGGATCCCAGGGTGACGTGGTGGGGGGATAAAAGGTCTGCAGGGAATATATTGAAATACAAATGTGATTCTGTCACCGTATCTTCCACACGGAAATCAATGGAACAACAATGATAATAGTCATAACCATCATTGATGCAGCTTATACTGATCTCCTACATCCAGTAAAATTGAAAACTTCAGCGCAAATCGAAATCACCATAAACTATCAATCAATCATACGCAAATACACAAAATTACTAGTTTTCCACAACTGAATAATCATCTTTGATAGCTGATTTGAGTGTAAAATTTAACACAAAAAAATCGTATTTGCACAACTATCACTCATATATGTTAGTATAAATGTCACAGCTACTGTTGGGGATGTCAGTGCATTTTGATGGGACATGACAATGGAAGAAAAATTTGGAAATAAAAACGGATTATAGATATATTCAGAATAGCTGCTTCTCATGGAAGATTACACAAAATGTGAGATGAAGTTAATTTGAAAATGACTTGTTGTACTTAACTGGATAATAATAATGATAATATCACAGAAATAAACATTATCCAGATTGATAGGACCGAACATGGTGTAGAAGACCAAGAGGTAGAGTATATCTTTTCAATACTTTACTATTATTCTTGTTATATATGTGTGTTATATTAAATATAAATGATGATTTGTATAAAAGTATGTAAGCAAAATTATTCTTTGGGGAATTAAATGATTACATCCCACTAGAAACTGAAAGGTCGGTGAAATAAAATCAAAATTATTTTTTCAGCAGCGTTCACGAGAGAAAACATTTTCTGATGATATGGATATCTCTTGTCAGTTTTCCGTCGTTCTAAAAAGGAAAACAACTTAAATCTTGTAATAAAGACTGTACTGGTGAGCCCACTTCATACATACAGCTAACATGGATTAAGAAACAAAAATTACGGGTAATGACTGAAAATTTAGCAATGTTGACATCGTGGAAATATTCTAGAAGCAAAGAATTCGATTATTCTACCCACCGTTATAATCACAATACTGTTGCACTTAAAGCAATACTGAAAATTTTTTTATTTTCTATCACTCATCGCTATAGTGTATTTAACCAACTTCTTTTAAAATTAATTTTCACCTCTCAAGCTAGTGATAACAACCTTTGCCTCTATCATCTGTCAGCTGAGAAAAAGATTCCAATGTCGGAATCACCATCAGGCAAACCAGCATAAATATTAGAACGCTAGTGATCTGACTTATAATTATAGGTCTTATCCTAAGAAATACTAAGATATTTTACTGCTGAAGAGTTCTTAATTCGCTCTGAATAATGCAAGAACAACTGTTTTGTAGAATAAAATGGTTGACTGACTCAAAGTAATACGGTGAGAATTGCCTCCAAACTTCTCTAAACTCATTGCTTTAAACATCATCATATTTAAAGATGATTTTCCTCCATATAAATTCCAATATTAACTGCTATTAGGAAGTTCACATAATCTATTGTTTGTGTTGAGATAGCAATGCAATAATTAGTTATGAATTTATTTCACGGTAAATGCTTACCAAAAATAAATTTCAATCATCTACTTCCATTTCTGTGCATCTATTCAGCGTATTCGATTGGCTATAGTCATGAACACGTTTTTTTAGTCTCAGTAATCAAAAATTGTTTTAGGGACTATAGTAACCAATCACCGAATCATTTCGTGAATGGTTAGGAAGTATATACAAATAGGTAAAGTGAAATACGTTTTTGAATAAAAACAGTGTGAATCTATAAAAGAGCTTGTTTTATAATAGATATTCAAAATGACAACATATTTTATCAAAAGAAGTGAGACTGAATATCTAGGACCTTAGAATTTAATTTATCGTATGCTTTAAAATCTGAGATTCAGTGATACGAAGTAACTTTTATAATTCATTATTCATTTACAAAACTTATTTTGAACGAAACACTCACTTCTTATTTCCGAACTAGGGATTTCTTGCTGCTGGAATATTTAAATTACTAGAGTCATTTTTTGCACATCTCATGTATTCTTTTGCAGAAAACGACAATGGTGACATTGAAGATGTTTGCAGACCAGAATATTCATAGTTATCAACGATTGTGGTTGTTATCATGATTCTATCATGCAGGCGATCTAGGAGATATTTTGACTTGTTGGAATCTTTGCATGCCATTGATGAAGCAGGTGACAGAGGTGATAACTCCGCTCTTTTTTGTACCACTGATGAACTAGATTGTGACGGACATGATGCTGATGTGGTTGTAAAGCATAGTTCAGGATCTGAGTACAAATATGCATCAGATCCACTGTCAGAATGATTTGCAAGGTGCGACGAACCATTTGATTGTAATCTGCTAATATTTGTTGAATTATGGCTGAACAATTCTGGTTTTTCTTCACTTGATAAAGCCTATTAGAATAAATCATACATGTTACCTTTATTGATAGAGATGACTCTAAATGATGAGTCACTTCCAAAGTAAACAAAACCAGTGTGTTTCTGACTTTTGTGGGCTGCAGAAGACCTTACCACATGTAATGAAAAGCCAGGGTGGTGTGTTTAAAAGAAATTGGTCCAACCTCCGCATTTCCCATGGATCTGGTTCGGCTTGACAACATAGATTTTGTTTTTTCATTGGCCTTCACTTTTTTCAACTTCACTTGTGAAAACTATGATTTGAATTTGTTTCCATGCCCACCCGGTTCCCACCTCTCTTTCTCTTTTCAAGTGGTGTGTTTTGCATGAACATGATATCACTTGAACATATAACCTGTATTCTGTACGTGAACCAAAAGTTGCCTGGTAGGGCAATAAAAGCTTCGCAAATCAACTATCTACCTCAGAGGACACAACCAGATAAAAAAATTAGCTAATTTGGTGAGGTTACTTAAGTGATACTCTCGTCCGATGGGATATTTATGGGAGAGAATTCATACCCAAGGTCATCAGCAGTCTGTCCCTAATATGGATATATTTTATTTGATCTATCAATTTAAACTTATTCACTATGTATAACACAATTTGTTAGAGCGTAGATTTGAAAATAGTCGTCAACCTTTGAGTTACATTATGCTGTGGAAGATTCTTTATAAGAAGCATAGGTTTCAGTGATACTCCGGGTTTCTGGATTTGAGTAATTCTTAAAGTTTAATCAAACAAGTGCACGTTGGTGTAACTGTTGGCACGTTATTTAGGCCAAAAAAGAATGCAGAAAAGCTGCAGACTGAATTCTATCAGTAGAATTTGCAATGTGACCCCCAAGCTAGTTAGCTTTCCACCATTACACTGAAATGTTGTTATTAGGACTAGATGGATGACACTGGTTACTTACTACTAAATATCCAATCAAAGTATCCAATACAGTCCTACAAGAGGTTCATCTTAAACCCGAATAGCTCAGTAATAACGTCCCTGAATGCAGCGCTGGCTAACGTTGGTTCAAATTATGGAAGGAACATGAGTTCCTTCAAGGCAGCAGATACGCCTTGCTGACGAGTACCAACTAGCACAAAACCTAGGTCCAAGGCTTCCTGACGACTACATTCAGCTGTCTAATAATATAAAAAATATCTTCTCACTAAAAACTGAGGGAACAGATCACTTTATCTTAAGACTGACGATATTCCAGGTTTTAGAAGTGTAATTTTGTCATTCATCAATAGCTATTTTAACATTTTATTCTAGAAGACCTTTAATTACGCAGAACTGTTTTGTTGGTGACTTTATTTTTGAGTCAAACGTTATGATTCTGAATCGTAATCTTTTTGTCTGTGTGAGAAAACACTACCTAGTTATCATCACCAACATCATTAAATGTTAATATTTGTTCCTAATGCAACACCAAAAGAAATTATCTTATAGCTTCATGACATTCACCCTATCTGCCACATCAAACTAGTCTACTGACCAACATTAGTATTCATTAAAATAATTACCATCTTGTCTTGGGATCAGTGAATAAACTTATAACTAATGCTGATACATCAGAATCGACAGGTGTAATACAGCAAACAACTTTTTATATTTACTAAGTATGAACTAATATTAGGTTTTCAAGGCAATGAAATAACCACAAGATTCTGTTTATAAGTTAGTCACATAACTTACTCCTAGATATGATCTTCTTCCACTAGAATGTACTTTTGAAGCTCCATGTTGCTTATTTGATCCTTTATATGAAAAGTCTTTGTATTTTTCCGTTATATTATCGGAGGCGTTCTGGTGTAGTTCTGGCGACTCTCTACGAAGTAGATAAAAAATAATTTTTTTAACTTGTACTAAAAGTTGTGAAGTACAAAATATGGGAATTCGGTGGTGACATGGTGGTAGAATCCTCGTCGACCACTCATGTGGTCCGGGGTTCGATCCCCGAGCGACCCATTCCTGTACCTAGCTTGGCCAGTAACAAGACTAGTAAAGAGGAAAGGTTGGGCATCAGGCTAACAACCCCATCCCGTAAAATAAACACCACTGCTACCGAAACTTCAAAGCTCTAGCTTGAAGCCCTATGTTCCACTGGGAACGTAAAGGACTAAAAAAACAAACATGGGAATCTGTTAACATCCACTAAACAGTCATCATGATACCATATCAGATAAGCTCATTTGGGATAACGCATGGTTATGCAATATCAAAAACTGAATCACTCCACACCTAGCTAAATTCTTATGTTTTTATAAGCTGATAACCCCATGTCTACTGCAGAGTATTTCACAGATTACGTTATTTTGTTTAATTGGGTTGATAGAGTCCTCCTGCCTACGGAGTTTTTCCCTAAGTGAGTTTGTAGGTCAAAATTACAACCTAATTCCTGCTTTATTAAGAACTCTACACAGAGGTACGGATGTTTCTTCCTAATATGATGAAGTTGAAGATATCTTAAATTCTTACAGTTCCACTACAATGTTTGCTTTTTTGTGAGCTTTTGTGATCTTAATGAATTTTATGGAATATTATTTAGGTTTTCTGATGTACGAATTAGAGGTACCGCTTGGTTTCTTAAACACTCAACTAGGCTTTTCTTTACAAATAAAGGACTAGGTGAACTAAAGTACGCTGGTCTTTTATAAAATTTAGTACATAGTTTACCTTCTGTTTTTTTTTCCAGTCTAACATAGCTAATTCTACTTGTTTATTTTCTGAATCAAATATAAGTTTCATTCCCTCTACTATTAAATTTGTATGTGTTAGGATACCAGAGATACATTCTTTTTAACAGTGTGAAAGTGTCATCCACATATCTACACCAAATTTTTGAAGCAGGATTAAATTTTCTAAGATTTAAGAGGAAAATGATAATAATGCATATATGAGTAAAGTGAAAATCTTGTCATATGAACTTTAGTACTGCCTGTCTGTCTGTTTTCAACCTAGAACTTTGCACATATGTGCGGCAGTTCAAGTCGCCACACTCCATGTAGCACACAAAGCAAGAGAAGAAAGTAGGAGAAATGCATATTAGAGACAGTAAACAGAGGTGTGATATTCACGATTTTAGCATAATAAACTAAAAGTGATTTCAGTTGATTTCAGTTGTTTTTCTTCAGTTTATCTCTTTCTTCACCTGTAATATTTTCAATGACTTCGTATTAAACTGCTTATCTAATAACAAGATATGAACACAAAGTCACTGATACATACCATTAGTGAGACTGGAATACGTTATTTCTATTTTCTAGACACTTGTTTTTAATTAGTATACTCAAAAGGATATTAAAGTGAATTCACTTTTCTGTGTTCAAACGAATGGCAAAATATTAATTCACTGATTTTACTGATTTTATTCGTTTTATCTTCAGGCCTATTTAAGTTTGTCACTAATTATAGCCGTATCATCAGTCCAGTTTGTGTTTTAACTCTAAAAGTCTTCGGACAAAAAGGAAGGTCAATTAAGTTTCTATTTTAAGTTTTACATAGTAATATTGGTAGTGAAACAAGGTCAGTAGTAGTGAATAAGAATCACTCTCCATTATTTATTCATGCTGAAATATATCTACAAGTTATGAGTTATGACTTCAACACAGCCAAACTGCTTACTTAATTACAAACATGTTTTCCTTTCATTTGTAATTTGAAATAGTTTCCTATGTGATTATAGGTACCGTTTAAACTGGAGGTACGATGTGTATTTCCTTATCTAAATTTCGATTCCTATAATGAGGCAAAGGTTTAAACATAATATTTCTAAGAAGAAGCAAACAATAAAATGTAACTTTTTTTTACCGATATAAAGCGGATGTTGGTGGGTGCATTTCATATTTCTGAAAATTTCGTTGCCACCCTTTGTCTTCGGTGATAATCGCTTTTAATGGCGAGAGAGACTTCCGCATTATGTCTGATGAACCAGGTTTTTGATGAGCACCATAACCGTTATCGAATGAGAACTCCTTTAGTGGGACATCCCCGAATTCCTTTAGAAAAAGAAAAGGAAGTGATAATGAATATTTGCTGAGAAATATGAGTAGTGTACATCAATACTTCAATTTATGTAGACTGAAATGAAATAGAATGTTGTTGAGACAAAACATTAGTGTTAGGAGTAAATTCTGTCAGAATAAATACGTTTACAGGAATTATGAACTGATCAACTAAGTTCTACTTCTAGATTTATATACCCGACCCTTAATTTAAGAGTTTTTCAGTTGAAACCGGTCCACTTCTAACAACACATATTCTAGAAGTTGCTACAGATAACACTAAATATATGTGTTTGTTAAAAGTTAAAGGACATTCGGGTGTTTTTCAACCAAAACATTCAAAGTTGCTAAATTTACCGATTGCAAAATATCATATCTTATAAAATAAAAATTACATAATTTCACCATCATATCAGATATATTTAGAAGTAAACAAAAGACATTGGAAAAGCTTCTGAATGAATTAACGCAAAATTATTAGCGGCCTAGATGTTAACGAAAAATTCTTTGAAAAAAAACTCGATTCAATAATGAACCGAAAAATTCGTTGTTTGTAAATAAAAAAATAGAAAGCAATCAACCTCGCTTGGTTTATTATTATTGTTTCCTTTAATTCCTAGAAGAACATAGGGCTTCAGCCGCGCGTCTCCATTGCGTTCGGTTCTCTGCTGGAGTCATCAACTGGCTCCATGTCTGCCCACACGTTTTCATCTCCTCTTCACATGACCTCATCCAAGTCACCCTTGGACGACCAACTCGCTGCTCTCCTTTCAGGTTCCACTCAAGGGCTTGTCTAGTGATGTCACTTGATGATTTCCTCAGAGTATGGCCAATCCATCTCCATTTCTTCCTGCCTATTTGTTTCACAATCGGTTCCTGGTTGGTTTGCTCCCACAGGTCACTATTGCTGATCTTTTCTGACCGGCCATCTGATCTTGAGTATTGAGCGAAGACAACTGTTAATGAAGGTTTGTAGTTTGTTCGAGGTGCTCTTTATGACGCGCCAAGTCTCTGATCCGTATAGTAGCACTGACTTCATACCTCGCTTGGTTTATTGATAGCAAAATATTATCATCCCATGAATTTAACACTTGAAAGCTTTAAAAAATAATGGATTTAAAGTAGATAAATTCAATTAGAGCAACTAATGCACCAATCACTTTTTATCAGTTGATGTATTTCTGTGAAAAACTACATTTATGGAGAATTTAAAGCACACTGTGTTCTGTAGATTAGGTGACTCGAGCTTTGGGATAATCTGATAATATATATACTATGGGTTTTTTAAGGATCTGGAATTAAGTGTAGTTATATATAACGTAGTTTGAAAAGAAAACAAACGGTAGTGATTCATGCTTTTATGACACTTCGGGGATGAATGAAAGTATCTTCCATTCGCTTTGTGATTTACTGATGGCTTGAGCAAACGGACAAGCAAATTTAAGGCATTCTTACCAATATATTTGGTGCTTACATATAAAAGTATCTGCTTTATTAGAGAAAATCAGCCAATAACAAAGCTCGTAGGAACATAAATGAAACTAAAAAACTGTTGACAAGTATTTAAACCTACTGGTGTTGCTGCAGGGCGAAAATTTTCCAAGTAATTTCTTCCTGCTGATGGATGGCATAGACTTGTACTTCGTCTAGGTGGATAGTCTTGTGATTTCTGATCCAGGCGTGAACCATGCCCATTTCGGCTAATACCGTTCGATTCATATAACAGGGATGGATCCGAGACTATTGAAGGATTGTTTTCATGTGAATTAGTGAACCCTGTGCTCACAGATAAAAGTCTTACGAGTGCTTCAAGCTGCAGCATTAAGTCAGTACGACTACGCTGAAAGTTAAAAAAGAAGAATAATATTCATTCTTGGTAGTTCTCATTGATAGCCACTTTCATGTGCACATCAGTTTCTCAAACCTGTTTACATTTAGGTGAAAAAAATAAAGATAGATGTACAGGAATCGGAAATGACCTAAATTCAAAGAATATTCTGCATTATTTCTCAGTTAATAAATGACGTGCAATGAAATACTGTCAATGCAAGTAATTAAAATACCATACAACCCAGGCAAACTGTGATAGACTCAGGTAGAAGGTGAAAGATCACTATACACGGTGCTTGCTATTACATATTGTATTAAAGAGAAGAAAGTTATTTGCTCACGCTTTGTCTTCATAAAACTGAACACAGTGTTGAACACCCAGAATTTCTCTAAATTTATGACGTGTTTGTATATCATACGGAATGTACATAAAGCTTATTTTTCATTTCAACAGTGAAGACGTTTTCCATAGAAACTTAAAGGAAACCATTAAAATGCTTAAGGTTTTAAAACTTGCTGTAAGTGACGGATGTGTAAATAAACGACTTTCCTTTGAGTAATGAATGAAAATGTGCGTCGACGACACAGCGGTAGAATGCTTGCCGGCCACGCATGTGGCCTCGGGTTCAATCCCCTACCAATACGCTCGTTTACTTCGCTAAACCAGTAATAAGATTGGTAAGGAAAGAGGGTTGAGCATGAAGCTAGCAAACCCATCCCGTAAAAACAAATACCACTGCTACCGAAACTTCAAACCTCCAGCTCGAAGACCTATGCTACACTGGGAACGTAAAGGAATAAAAACAAGAATGAAAATAGGTTTTTCATAATAATGTTGGATATTTTCTTCACAGAATGCTTGATGTTTAGTAAGCCTATATGAAAATATGAAAGTGAAGCCCAGCAAGCACTCACATACGACTGAATGCAAAATATATATATTTATGTTTAAATGTGTATGACATCACATTAAGGAAATTACTGTTCATATGTACTTTTCATATGCACAAAACATCCAGTTACAAATATATATCAGGTATGATTTTTGAGTAATCATTTTACGTATCAACACTGAATTATTAGTGAAAAGTCGCATTAAGAGTTTGTGTTCTAAAAATATTATGAGATTAATATGTTGTAATATTTAACTGTTGAGACCTTAAAATCAACGCATACCTGTAGGTTGTTCATTCGGGATTCCAACTCATCTTTCCTTTGACGTATCGCCTTCAAATCAGCAACCAGACGAGGATTTTCTGCGTTCGCCGAAGCACTGGCTACAGATGATATTACACTATCTGGCTTTAAATGTTGTGCTAAATTTTCTTGACCTAATGTGTCTGCACTTTCATTAAATAAGTCTTTTAACTGAGATGAATCATTTTTGAGACAACCAGCGGCAGCTATGAATGCTGCTTGTTTCTGTTGTTCAATACGTAAACGTTCGATTTCTCTCAGTATTTTCCTGAAATAACGATAAGTAGTAAAAATAGGCCAAACACACCTTCCTCAAATAGAGATAAACAAAAAGTGAGACTGTTTTTACTTAAATTACGTCAGATGTATATTAAAGGAGAGGTCTCAATTTCAAAATTTGTAAATTACACAGTTAGAGATGGAATTTCATTGTAGTTTCCTTAGGAAAATAAAAATTATTCAGATAATACTGTGTGATCTGCTTGACAGTATAAATGATACGCATCATAAAAGAGACATCTATTTAAACTACGTTTGTTGACAAATTACGTAAGATCCATAAACTGCAGTATTAACAAATGATACGTTAATACAGAAAATAGTCTTTTTATTCAGGATGACATCTGGCATCCTGTCGTATGAGGAATAGTATAATATTTGTACTTATAATCCCTTAACAGCCAATATAGATCTCTGACTCACAAATACGATGCATAGTGCAGAAGTGATCTTGTTGAGCACTGATATATGAAGAGTGGTTAAACTTGTCTGTTATGTTTTAAAAACACAAAAACGTATCATTCTAGTATTTCGCCATTGCAGATAGCGTTTAATTTCTACATAAAGTACAGATGTTGTCACTGAACAGAGTTTAGAACTGCAGTCACACTACTTATCAGCGTTCACGGGCAGTGAAATACTACATTTAGTTTCATAGCTAATTATTAGTGTAGCCAATCACTTGTCAACTAGTGGATTCAACAGAAGGACAAACCACTTTCTAAATTGAACATGCCTGTATTCAATGCTGTCAGTTGTTTCTTAGGTCTCTGTGATTTCGTTGTCGCAATTATGCAGCCATATTTGTGCACAGTATGTCCTACGTCAACTAATAATTCTGTAAATAACTAACAGAATAAAATGCATAGAAACAAATCCATTAAATTAAACAGAAGTTATAATGAAACTGCTTTCAACCATCTCTTCAAATTATGCAATTTGAATAAAGCAAGAACAACAGTTTTTGCAGAATAAAATGGTACTATCTTTTATTTCGTTGGCTTCTCATCATCTGCTTACATGCCAAAGTCATTATTCAATATATCTACAGAAACAATTTTAACATACTTGCACAGAGTTCATTTTAAACAAAAATCAATCAATCTATATATGTATACAGTAATTACACACATATATACATATACACATTATTATTAAACACTATTCCGAACAGTAATGATCATACACAATGGAAACTTTCGACACTACGTAATCAGATGAAAGAGGGGTGAAAATATCCAGTTACCAGAGCAAAGAAAGACTGATAACTGCTTCTTTCTGAACGCATAAATCAGGTTTCAGGTGCTTGATGGAGATGGCTTCAGCTAACTTGAGGAGAATTGAACTCTTTTGCCTATTGATAATTTTGAACGATCTTGAGACGTCCACCTCATGACCCGTGTCAATGAGATGCTTAGCGATGGCACTGTTTACAGCATTTGTTCCGTTTAAACATAGGCTCTTTGGTACATGTCCAGAAAATCGTAGATATGCCCTTCTTTCTGTTCTTCCAATGTAAGTGCTCCCACAGATACATGTAAATTTGTATATACAGTTGGAGTTAACATGAGAAGGATATCTATCGATTTTTGATTGCACCAAGGAGCAAGTTGTTCGATAGACGGGAACGAGCTTAACTGCAAGATAGGCTATGGCTAGTGATGTACTCAGCCTTCTGTCGACCATTGCTGCAATGTTTTCACCTTTATAATCAAGCCGAAAGTAGATTGGCTTTTTTCCCACTGTGATTTGTTTTACATTTGTGACTTCAGATCTTCCATACTTGTTGATGAACCTTTGAGGGTACCCATCGCTTTTAAGTGTCTTTTCAAGAAACTCAAATTCTTCCTCTAATTTCTCTATAGAGCATATTCTCCTTGCTCTATAGTACAAAGTTTTGACTAGACCACGTTTAAAGCTATTTGGACAAAAGCTATTAAAATGTAAGTATTGTCCTTTCCATGGAGGCTTTCGATAAATTGACTTCTGAAGACTACCATCTTCTAGGCGTTGCATGGCAATGTGGAGAAGGCGGAACTCTCCATCACTTTCATGTTCCATAGTAAATTCAATATTGGTATGTGCGCCATTGAATTATCTGAGTAAGTGGGAAGCATGAATTTCATTGTTGCACACCGCGGATGTGTCATCAATATATCGATAGTAGGAAGTTGTTTCGTCGATTGCATGCTTCAACTTTGTTCTTTCAAGGTTGGACATGAATACAACTGCTAAAATAGGGCTAAGTGGACTTCCCATAACTACCCCATCTATTTGGCGGTAAAGAGTGTTGTCCAGTTGGAAGTGCACATCCGTGGTACACATAAGCACTAGGAGATTGAATTTCGACTCTGGGAATGGGAGAAGATCAGACTGCTGACAAATAATCTCAACAGTTTCATTGATTGGAATAATTATGAACAAAAAGGTTGCATCAAATGACATCAAGAACTTATTTAAAAAATTCATGTGGTTCACACAGAAGGAAACAAATTCTTTAAATTGTGCCATCGCTAAGCATCTCATTGACACGGCTCATGAGGTGGACGTCTCAAGATCGTTCAAAATTATCAATAGGCAAAAGAGTTCAATTCTCCTCAAGTTAGCTGAAGCCATCTCCATCAAGCACCTGAAACCTGATTTATGCGTTCAGAAAGAAGCAGTTATCAGTCTTTCTTTGCTCTGGTAACTGGATATTTTCACCCCTCTTTCATCTGATTACGTAGTGTCGAAAGTTTCCATTGTGTATGATCATTACTGTTCGGAATAGTGTTTAATAATAATGTGTATATGTATATATGTGTGTAATTACTGTATACATATATAGATTGATTGATTTTTGTTTAAAATGAACTCTGTGCAAGTATGTTAAAATTGTTTCTGTAGATATATTGAATAATGACTTTGGCATGTAAGCAGATGATGAGAAGCCAACGAAATAAAAGATAGTACCATTTTATTCTGCAAAAACTGTTGTTCTTGCTTTATTCAAATTCTTCAAAGGTGAATAATTGTATCAAATTATGGAAAGGTGTATTTGACACTTTACAACCGGGAATGAGTACATCATAATTATCATTGCAAAAAACACGAAGAAATGATGAGGATTCTAAAAAAGGATGGTAATTAATAAGTTGGCCTATGAATGTACGTCTTTGATAATATTTGCAAGCAGTTTTGAACTTATTGAATAAAAATACGCGTGCTCTCAGCACAGATTTACCTGTTTTTCTCTTGCAATTGTGCAATCAGCTGTTTTTGCGTTTGCGTTGAATCAACAAGATCACCTAGTTTCTTTAAAATAAAGATCCGTAAAATTAAAATGTCATTGTAAATATATGATATATTTATTTCTTAAAATGTTACGTATAGAGTTATTTGTAAAACACAAGCCCGTCACGGACATACTTTTTTATTTAAGGGGATATGTGTATACTTACTTCCTGAGTGGACGAGTAACTTTATAACATCCATTTTGTGTGCAAAATTATAAAGACTCTATTTTGGAGTTGTATAAGTTATTGAAACAAAATTTTTTCAAGGGATAGAAAAAACCACAATTCGTAACGGAAGTTAGAGCCTAGCAAATATCTGCATAACTTAGATTAAGCCACAACTGTCAGAAAGATAGTGTTATTTCCTTGATGTTCTGCGAACCTTCATATTTGCACCACGGTAGTAGACATTAACATTCAACTTTGAAAACTTAGTTAGCTCCAAATTGATCAAAAGAACACGGAATTATATATATGTACATATATGCATATAAAGAACATACGTAGGAGAACACAATTATAACCTTCATAAATAGTATTTTAGTTTGCAGTTGAGAAGGACTCAACCGTATGCTTATGAAAAGATTAAGTATAAATGCGTGCAACTGATTCAATAAGGCCCTTAATACATTGTAATTTTCATGTACTTATTCAGCAGATTTGAATCTTGCCACATCTCTGCCACCTACCAAAGTTTGGTCAGCCAGACTGCATACCCAGCTTCCATATAAAAGATTTCATTGCTGTTAAGTTTATGCAAATCTGAGTAGTTGCTGAGCTGCATTTTGCTTTGGTTTCACTCATTACTCACTGATTTGTCAGTATTATTTCATAAGTTTTGGAAAATGAAAGGTAATTTTATTAGTTTATGCTTAGGGGTTCAGCAAAACCCTATTATCACTGGATACTGTTTCAAACAATATTCATATTATTCATAGCTATCCTAAATGTAGTTTCAAAACGTTTTAGCATAAACAGAATATACTTTGAATCAATTTCGCCTCACAACTTGACTGTTAAATCCAAAAGTGAAGATTCATCTGTGGACTTCATGCTCTACACCATTATGCTGGTTGTTAAATTTTATGTGTGACAGTGTGTACTTTGCCGTGCATAGATGGAGCTTTTCTCTTTGCGTTTTGCATAATCTCGAATTTTCTTCATCTCATAGATATATCCAGAGCTAATAATTCCACCGTGACAGAGAGTGCGACCACCATAAGTTTCCGTCTCAGCTGGAATAAGCAGTTTCTTTTGATGTTCTTTTATTCTGTGGTGTAATATAACTAACTGAAGTTTACAGTTCTTCTAACTGTCTGATTTGATTTCACCTCAGAATGAAATAATCCATATTGAAACCAATCAAATTCTTTCAAATTCAATTACTACATATTGTTCTCTTTCTTGGCATTCAGTGATTTTACTTTGCGTTTCTTTAATGTCTTATGAGCATTCGTAGGCAGCAGTGACCGTCGTGTCCAGCGTGGAGGTGACGCTCACTGACTTCACTGGCTGACTGGTCAAATAATCAGATATTGAAAGTCAACACGGAGACTCAGTGATACATGCGCTTGGTTATCAAACTGAAGGTCCTGGCTTGGGAATCTGGCAGGATCGTGGGTGCGTATTTGTGAAGATTCCGAAATTAGGTTGAAACAGTTGTCTGTTGCTCCTTGTTTTACAATAATTCTTTAACTTGCGCCCGTTGCCTACGAAATCTGCGCTAAAATTAATGCGTATAAGATTTTTGCTGTACACCTATAAACTCAACTCTACAGACAAAACACCTAACAATTTACTTTTAAGGGGACTAACTATATTCCGTAGGCTGTCTATGACTTTGCTACGGAAGATTAGGGATGCTTATACCGAGTTTCTTCCAGAACTTTACTTCTTAATGTCTGCTACCAGAAAAATATTAGGTTTTTTTTACGCATATGTAAAACATGAATGAAAAAGCGATTTGTTGATTCCATTATAGATAAAATTTTATGGAAGGAAAAACGTTGTGTGAGTAACTTGATATGATTATGAGCAATAGTTTGTACTCGAAACATCATCAGTTAATATTGCTGTATGACACTGTGTGATTTATCAAAATAAAATCTTATCCATAATGGAGTTATACTCTACCACATTGCCCAAGTTTTATACTTATATAGATAAAATTTTATTTTGATAAATCACATAGTGTTGTACAGTAATATTAACTGATGACGTTTCGAGCACAAATTATTGCTCATAACCATATCAAGTCACTCACACAACTTTACTGTACGTAAACCTTTTCATATTAGATAACGCTTCTCTGGATAAGGAACAGAGTATTCCTTGTCTTAGACAACAGCTATTGGACATTTCATATTCAAAGACTGAATCAAACTGTTAGTCTAAGATGCTAAATTTTATCCTTAGCATCAGTGCAAATTAGGATAATTAGTGAACTAGTTGAACTGTGTACACATCCATTTTATTTAGTCATTATGAGGAATACTCACAGGAATTCAGTTGCTTAAATCTGTCTTAATTTTAGTCAGACATATTTACTAGAGGCCCAATGAATGTCCACAAACTTAATAAAATTAGTATGCCATAAAAAGTCATCAGTAACCTGCAATTGTCATCAATTGACATTGAAAGTGATATGCGACATATGCTTGAAAAATTAGGTTCTGAGATTCTTTTCCTACTAAGTGTCTATTCTGAACTTTATGTGGTAGCCTAAATTTTAAACTTACATCGAATTCCTGATTCAGAGAGGAAGCGGCAGCCAGTTGAGCGGCGTATCTAGCAATCAAGGCGTGTTCTTCGCTAGACTTTTGATCCATGTTATGCATTTTCATTGAAAAACTGACTTTCGTATTCGTGCTAAATGAACTATTATTACTTATTGATGTTGTGCTTATTGTCTGTGTAGTTAGTACTTGGGATGTTGCACTTGATATTTCTTGCTGTTGTTGATACTGCTGATTCACATATGTAACAGGTTGAGGATAAGATGATCTACATACATAAATTTTGCAAAAACAGGAAAACAACACAGATATAATAACAGACTAAATGCAATATTGCAGTCATTTACAATAAACACAAACCAAATAAAAAGGTATGCACTAATGTCCATTACTTAGAGTTAAACACAAATGTTTTTGGTTTAATTTAACTTGAAACTAGGTAGCATTAGTATGTGCATTTTAACGGTGTCTGAACGAAAAACTTTAATATTTCTAAAGGCTTGAAAAATATCCATGTGAGATAAATTAAAAAGACAAGTCAGAAAAGAATATTCTGTTCATAACTTTTACTTCAAAGCTGTACAGTTAGGTAGCGTTCTAAAATGTCATGGAAATGCCTACAAAGGTAGATTGATAATATCATTTGACAACATAACATAAAAAACCAAAAACATAAAAATTATAAATCATAAAAAAATAAAATGGTTGTCAACAGGAGAAACTAAACAAACTAATAACCTAATTTTGCGTACCTTCTTCTTACATATCATCCTGCACCAAAAGAAAAGTTCATCAAAGTGTTATATAAAGTATTTCAAATTCGTGTGAGGGTATCATGGCAACATCTTCGAATCAGGGCAGAAGCTCTTGGTATACATAAGGAAAACCCTGAACTGTGTATAGAGAAGTATCTTCAATATCTTTCACTATCCTGGCCTCAAACTTTTTCTTTGTCTAGCTTGTGCAGTAATTTGGTAAGTGATTCATTTGGCTTTTTCCTCTTACATTTTACCTACATTCTGAACCACTTACTATTTTGAACAATGTTCCTGTTTCAAAGAGCTTGTAGTTTTAATGGTAGTCATTTCAAAGCGATATTCATCACTTTATTTTTTAGATTACATAGGACTACTTAAATTAATTTCGTAATCTATTCATTATTTCTGCTGACATGTAGTTTTATATGTTTTACTAACAATATCAGGTGTTTGCATTACATTTTACAACACCACATAGCTGTATAGCTTCAAAGTGAAGTTAAGAAAAGATTAATCGTTGCTGGCCTATGTCTTTTTAATGATTATATTTATTTTCGCAGCAAATAGACTTAACTGTTGCAGTCACCAACAGTATCATCAGGTTGTACATTGCACAGACAAAAAAACATAACATGATTGGTAAAAATGAAAAAAGAATACAAAATAATGACATCATTTTACTCGAATTCTCAGCCTACTGAAATAAACTACGTGGCATACAGATTTAATGTTGAATGCATTTCCAGGCATTCATATGAGGTTTATGAATAGAAAATAATTGAAAAATAAAAAAAGAAACGGACTTCGTTACGAATAGCAGCCTCCAAATATATAGGGAACAAACTTGACTAGAAATCAATAGAAATTCGGGAATCTGACACAACTATTCTTCATAAAGGCATATTTTTATCAAAGGAAGAATAATGACTGTATTTTAGCAGTGCTAAAGACTTGCACTAAGAACACAAATGAAATAATGAGAAGAATAGCAGTCTTACATATCTATAAACAGCTCTAATCTCTTAGTACTCAAACATGTCTCTAATCAAATCTAACGACCACCTTTAATGACCACGGTATAATTTGAATATAATCAACTATGAGAAACTGTGTCATGAGTTATGGGTGAAATTTATTCAGTTTTGATTACAGTTTCAGTCGGACTTCACTATAATACTGACAATAAAGTATATCTTATTTGTGAATACTTTACTTAGTTAAATAAGGAGTATGTTTGTGTGTTCATTAGGCGATGCGATAATGTGATAAGATACTATAAATTTGAAAAATATTTAATTATCAGCAAACAAACACACGCACACCGAGGGCTTGGCTATCATGATATCACCAACGCCAACGAAGGCACTGATGCAATGGGAGGCGATCTCGCCCAGGATAATAACCGCCAGATTCAATTCCAAAGGAAGGAAAGTGTCAGTTATACAATGCTACGCACCCACAAACAACGCAGACCTCGAAAAGAAAGAAGAATTCTACAGACAACTACAGGCAACAATGGACAATACCCCAGTTGGTGACATTAAAATACTAATGGGAGACATGAACGCCAAACTGGGACCAGACAACACAGGAAGAGAACTCATCATGGGTAAAGAAGCTCTCGGAGAAATGAATGAAAACGAAGAACTCTTCGCCGACTTCTGTGTCTTCAATGAACTAGTGATTGGTGGCAGCGTATATAAACACAAAGATATCCAAAAGGCTACATGGGTGTCACCAGGTGGGCGAACCAAAAATCAAATTGACTTCATCTCAATCTCAAGGAAGTGGAGGCGTAGCCTACTGGACACAAAAGTAAGAAGAGGAGCAGACGTTGGCTCAGACCACTATCTCGTACAAGCGACAGTCCAAATCAAATTAAAAGCGTTTGTAGAAGCAGGAGCTGCAGATAGACCACAAGCCAAGTTCAACACTCAGAAACTGAAGGACCAGGACACAAAGGACATCTTCACTGCAAGCATCAAGGACAAAGCCGAGACACAAATCAACACTGGCGAAGAGGTCAGCTTTGAGAAGCACTGGGACAACCTGAAAGCGGTGTGGAGTCAAACCTGCATGGAAATTCTGGGTAGAAAGAAGAAACAGGACATACAGTGGCTCACTACGGACACTTGGAAACTAATAGAAGAGAGAAGGATGGTGAAACAAAAGATTATCCGGTGCACCGACGAGTAACAAAAACAGGATTTGAATGCAAGCTACAAGACACTGAACAAAAGAGTAAAGAAGAGTGCCAGGGAAGACAAAAGAAAGTATTATGAAGCCATGGCAAGTGAAGCAGAACAAGCTGCAGGCAAAGGAGACCTCGTAACACTCTACCGAACAACTAGGTACCTTTCGGGTAAAAGTTCGACACAAATTAAGCCAGTGAAGGATGACAATGGAAAGTCAATCACCAAAGAAGTGGAGCAAAGGAAACACTGGGATGAACACTTCAAAAGACTTCTAAATCGGTCGCCACCTACAACGCGCCCACCAACAGCGGAAGCGGAACTATCAGTGGACATCAACACTCCGATGAGAACAGAAATCCTGAAGGCAATCAAGCTGCTAAAAGCTGGAAAAGCAGCAGGACCAGATGGAATCCCAGCAGAAGCATTGAAAACGGACCCGGAGACAACAGCGGACTTGATGACGCCACTACTGGAGAAGGTGTGGAAAGAGGGCAAGGTACCCGAGGATTTGAAGAAAGGATACTTATTCAAACCGCCAAAGAAAGGAGACTTAAGTCAATGCAAGAACTGGCACGGAATTATGCTCCTGCCCTCCCAAGAAATATAGTAAGCCGCATCATCCTGGAGAGAATCAAACATGCCCTGGATGAAAAACTTCGAACGGAACAAGCTGGATTCAGAAGAAACAAATCATGTATTGATCAAATCGCCACACTACGGATCCGCATTGAACAAAGCTTGGAATGGCAGTCACCTCTCTATCTCAACTTCATGGACGTTGAAAAGGCCTTTGACAGCGTCGATCGAGAGGTACTTTGGCAACTACTTCGCTACAACGGGGTGCCACCGACAATTATACATCTCATCCAACAGCTGTACGACAATGCTGCATGCCAAGTAATCCACAACAGGAAACTCACGGAACCCTTCGAAGTGAGAACAGGAGTAAGACAAGGCTGCCTACTATCGCCAATGATTTTCCTGATTTCAGTAGACTGGATAATGCAACAAACAGCGGGCAATGAGGAAGCAGGCATACAATGGAGTCACACAAAACCTTGGAGGATCTGGACTTCGCCGATGATATATGTCTGATTTCCCACAAACTGGAAGATATGCAATCGAAAAGCAACAAGTTAGCAGAAGAAGCATCAAAGATAGGACTTCAGGTGAACATAGAGAAAACAAAGGTGATGAAGACTCCTGGCCAACACCACCAACAACAGCAACAACAACAGACAATGTTCAGCATAAATGGGAGGAACCTGAAAGAAACAACCTCTTTTACCTACCTGGGAAGCATCGTTTCAACTACAGGCGGAAATGATGAGGACATCAAAGTGAGGATCGGGAAAGCAATCCAAGCTTTCACTTCTCTCAAATCTGTTTGGAGGTCAACAGCACTCAGCATCAAAAATAAGGTCCGGATTTTCAACTCCAATGTGAAGTCAGTGCTACTATACGGATCAGAGACTTGTACTGCGCGTCATCAAGAGCATCTCAAACAAACTATAGACCTTCATTAACAGTTGTCTTCGCTCAATACTACTCAAGATCAGATGGCCAGAAAAGATCAGCAACAGAGATCTCCGGCAATGAGCGAACCAACCACGAACCGATTGTGCAACAAATAGACAGGAAGAAATGGAGATGGATTGGCCATACTCTGAGGAAACCATCAAGTGACATCACTAGACAAGCCGTCGAGTGGAACCTGAAAGGGAAGCGGCGAGTTGGTCGTCAGTGCGAGGGTGACTTGGAGGAGGTCATGTGAAGAGGACATGAAAGCATGTGGGCAGACATGGAGCCAGGTGAAGACTCTAGCAGAGAACCGAACGCAATGGAGACGCGCAGCTGAAGCCCTGTATTCCTCTAGGAATTAAAGGAAATAATAATAAGTCATACTTTCAAACAACTACCTAACTACTTGGGCGAAATCGAGTGGTTTGAACTGATTTGGCTTCTTGAGCTGAGTCTAACTGGACACCGATGAACTCGGCTCCAAACGGGCAAGATGGCCGTCCGGTGTTTAGAACACCTCGATCTGGTTGGCAAGCCATAATGGTTGATGTGAGTAATAAACAACTATTCATCTCAATCGATCAGCAGTATACAGTTTTGTGAAAATGTACTTGCTTTCTTGATTATCACTTATGATGTCAAGCGAATCACGTCCTGTGATCTGAATAATTTGGTTTTCAAAGGAAACTGTGGTGAAAATTTCCCCCCTCAAACTATGTACACTATGAATTCCTAAAAAATTTGTGAATTATGAATTTCATTTATACACACTCTACACACATATTCACGGTGATTGAATAACTAGATTATATAGACACTTGCATGAATTTATCCTTGTTACCACTATAATTGTTACTGTGATCACCTCGATTATTATCCACGAATTTATCTGCCTGAACTCTAATTCTTGAAATAATAGAAAAGATTTGTGGCTCAGGTGGATGATTTGGAATTAATACAATTTACAAAATAAACTGTATGAACTGTAACAGACATTACATATGTCAAAGTGTGCGTCCCCTTCGAGTCAGAATCCAAGTACACAAGTTAGCTGTAAGAAGACACGATTTATATTCTTTTATGTCAATGCATGTAGATAATCATGGACATCGATTTGAATAGGATAACGTCGAAATTTTAAGTTGAGGAAACACGCAGAGTGCAGGATCATTTACATTGAAAGAACAGAAAGAAGGGCATATCTACGATTTTCTGGACATGTACCAAAGAGCCTATGTTTAAACGGAACAAATGCTGTAAACAGTGCCATCGCTAAGCATCTCATTGACACGGCTCATGAGGTGGACGTCTCAAGATCGTTCAAAATTATCAATAGGCAAAAGAGTTCAATTCTCCTCAAGTTAGCTGAAGCCATCTCCATCAAGCACCTGAAACCTGATTTATGCGTTCAGAAAGAAGCAGTTATCAGTCTTTCTTTGCTCTGGTAACTGGATATTTTCACCCCTCTTTCATCTGATTACGTAGTGTCGAAAGTTTCCATTGTGTATGATCATTACTGTTCGGAATAGTGTTTAATAATAATGTGTATATGTATATATGTGTGTAATTACTGTATACATATATAGATTGATTGATTTTTGTTTAAAATGAACTCTGTGCAAGTATGTTAAAATTGTTTCTGTAGATATATTGAATAATGACTTTGGCATGTAAGCAGATGATGAGAAGCCAACGAAATAAAAGATAGTACCATTTTATTCTGCAAAAACTGTTGTTCTTGCTTTATTCAAATGTCAGAGAATTCCTAGAAGCCTGGTACTCAATTGTATCAGCGATGAAGAAACATAGCAATATAGAAGAAACTGTCCAACTAATAAAAAGAAAGGCATGTGACAAAAAGTTGAAATTCCAATTCAATGTAAAGTGATCAAAAAGATGCAAATCGTTAACAGTCACGAAGATAGGTGACAGGAGACACAATTCTATCTTTCATGGAGAATTCACATGAGTTCCTTTTATGCTTAAACTTGAGCTGAATATGTTGTTCAGAAAGACTACGAGTGTGGTGAGAGCTGTCTACTAGCCAAATTGGTAGACAGTAATTTACGTCAATATTTACGTTCCCAAGATTTGTCGTGAGAAAATGTGAACAAAGATTGATTCAAAACCGACCACAGCAGACTTTGCGTAGGCGGATGCAGTTAACAGATAGAGGATTTGACATTCAAGAAACAGTCACAAATAGATGAAAGATTAACTTTACGTGAGAAACAAACAATCGGAAGACTGTGTTTGTTTGTTTAAATATCCATAGTGATGTACATGAAATATATAAATATGCGTTGATTTCCTTAATAAATGATCTGTTGCCTGACTCTTGCCTGCTGTCGTTACACGAGAGCTTCCCAATTAAACCAACCAGCCCAGAGAACACAACTAATCCCAGAATTCTAATTCTATTAATCACACTGGTTTGAAATGTCTATGGTCGATATTTTATAGTGTAGTTTCTGCTCATTATGCAAAGCTTGATTAGAAATTACCAAAATTACATAGTTGCTTAAACTGTTTTCTATAATTATCGTAATGGGAATATTAAGATCTTATATTAACCGCAGTGTCTGCTGGACAGAAATTAGTTTTCTTCAAGCTCCATCTTCGGTTGGTTGCAGCATCGGCTGAAATCCAGTTTAAAGTTTCGTACCAACGTTAGTTTTTGTGATACAATTAATGAAGACTATTTCGTTTACAGGAGTAAGAAAATAGAAAGTTAACACTTACGATGACAACGGTTGGTGACTTGCACTCGGTGGATTATTTGTATCTGAAACATATTGGTTAACATAAGGTACATCAGAGTATGGTATACCATTTTCTACAAGGTGAGGGGAAGAAATAAAAACATAGTGGTGAATTGACAATTGATATAATAATCACAGCAATATGCCTCTTATAAATAGTCTGTAATATAATTCTATGTGTCATTTAAACAATGGCGCAAGGTATACTGAATTCACGTTTCTTCTAATAACCTGCACAATACCTGTGCGCCAAAACACCTACACATTTTTGGAGAAGAAAGACATCTTAAGAGTTACATGAAGATTTCAGATGTTTCTGATTCCTAAACTCTTTGTTTCTTTTACCTTAACTAACGAATTGAAATATATATTTTTTCGTTAGACTAATGGTATTCCCGAATTCAGATTATTACTTTCAGAAAAGCATATATCGTTCAAGTATGCTTATCTTCTGCATCCCTCATACAGTCTTTCTGGGAGCATTTTCGTTTGTTGTCAGTTGCATTTACTTCAAACAACTTAGATTTATCGTTTTAACTGACCTTTGCTTTTCTAGCTAAACACATTCATACTATTCACTCGCGTTTCGAACTCATGTTCTATTTAAGTTTTTCACAGGAATAAGTACACTTTGATGATGGTCGGGAATTTATCTACAAATATTTGATCATAAGAAAACAAAACGATGGTTGAAGCCTTTAAAGACTATTCATTTCGATCAAATCGTATGCTGGATTGTACATTTGTGACTGCATAACAAAGGGGAGGGAAAGTTCCAGAATTATTTTCTGTCAGGGGTCAAATTACAGTGATTAAGAAGATGGAGCTATGTCACTTCATTTTTATTCGCTGAAACCACCTTTTTGCTTAAGCTTTTGATTGGATAGGTCTTTATTGTAACTTTTGCAGCTGTATATTAAAATACGTTCATGAAGAGATAATAAAAAGTTTGGATAATAAGTTAATATATTCCATATGTTCAAACGAAGTTCGCTTTTAACAGTTTGAAAAAACTTGGGCATTAGGTGTATGATATTCAATATTATTATAAAACTCTATGTATTTCCCAATGTATGAAAAACAAAACGATACTGTTGATACTGACGTCTCGCTATTTAATGCTAATAGCTTTGCTAATACCAGAATCTAGTTTAATAATACTTTAATAAAGCTATTAGCATAAAATAGCGAAACTTCAGCAAAAACAATATCGTTTTTTTCATTCATTGGGACATAAAAATCTTTTATAATAATAAGTCAATATATTCTTTTCACCAATCAAACTGAGTTAAAAAAGGTCACTGCAGTTCTTCACTTTAGAAAACCACATTAAAATTACTAAGATATCAGTTGACGTCTCAAGAAATTTGATAGCTTTAAAAATGAAGATGAACCTTTTATATCCTTTTGATATTTGGGATAGGAATGTAGGTTGTTGCAGATCTCACCTGATCTCAAATAGTTTACAGTAATCACATCCTGCTGCTGCATTGTGTTAGGGTAAAACGTAGCAGCCATTATGTTCTTCTCCGCATTGTTCGATCCCTGATTGAGTTCATTTATTTGATTAAACATCGTAGAAACTCGCGTAGGCTGTAGATGAATACATGAAACATTGGGTGTGTCCACAGAAGACCTATTCAACATAAACAACGGATTGAGTTGTTGTAGGCGTCGATTTGGTAGTGGACTACATAAACTATTTACTGGTGCCACAACCCTCTGGGTTGCAGGGGGTCGCATTACAGAACACGTAACAGAAATGCTTGTCGTTACATCTAATGGCATAGTTGGTAGTTGTCCAGCTGGGATACTACCATTTACGCAAGTATTTAAAACACTTGATGCAGCAGGTCCCGAATTCCACTCAAAAATGGATCCTACATGAGGACGACGGTTAACGTGGATTCCTGAAAGCTTTTGTCGTTCACTGAGCCCTCCTGCAAAAGGAGCTGTATTGACAAATCCTGAAGATACTGAACTGTACAGAGACCGTCCAAACTGAAAGGATTTCCTCAGAGAATGCCCAAATTGACGAGAATGTGACTTCTGAAATAAAACAAAAGATATCTAGCCTAGTCTTTTAATATGATAATAAACATTATAAAGTACTATGAAATTGTGTTCAATTCAGGGAAAGCGCAGCTAACTTTTCTCAAAGGAAATCAGGTTTCACTAAAAATCCGAATTAACTGATACCAGCATGCTGATATAGAGAATAAGTACTTGTTTTAATACATATTCATTGAACGGTGATATTAAGATAAGTAAGAAAACGACGTTCATGGTTATGTATTGTTTGATTATTTAAGTTAATGAGTGATATTTTAAAATGCATGAAGTAGTCGGTATTTCTGATAGTCTACAGCCTATGCCATGTATAATTCACAATGGATAGAAGTTTTATTCGTATTCTTATTGGTTACTGCATTTCATCATGACCTGACGTTGGTTAGAGAATCACTGGAAAACCTAGGAGTACTGGAAAGCTGTTTCGTCAGCCTAATTTGGGACTCCTCAGAAGTACGCATCCACCGGGGTTGGAACTCAGGACGTTCTGGTTACAAGGCGAGCTCGAAGACTACTGAGCCACTGGGGCGCGATCCAATGGCCCATGAATTCGGGTCCCATGCAATATATGCTACCCTATGTGTTGTTTGTTTTCGTTGCTTTATGAAAGTGGAATTGTAAGTAAATAAAAATCAAATCATTTTTCCGAATTATATCAGTCCTTTCAGTTTTTGTCAATATATTGTAATATCTCTAAATGTCGCCTTACATGTACATATATGTTGACAGAGTTTTAGGGTCACAAAATTAGTCAGCTGTCAGCGCCACTATCTTGACCATGTATCTCCATATACAGCTATAAGAGGATTTTAGTTCATATCAGTCAGAAAGCAGTTGATGACCGCTTAAAACTTAAAACGCAGATAGAAGGGAATTGCTACTCTCCAGAATACGAAGATGTCACAAACGAATGTACATTAATCAACAGATATCACTCCATTCACTGACTTGTAAATCTTCAAAAAGACGATATTCTAAAATAATCTCTCTTAAAGTGTATTTTAGCTGTTCTTTTCATTCGTCAGTAGTAAAAGGTGTCTCATTTGGCAGAAGAAAACAAATAAAGACTTATAAAAAAAGAGTCAGTATCAACTCACCGAAAATTTCAAAGTAAATCAAGATATTTATGTATAACTAAATATTAAAAATGAAATAAGTTCTTAAGTATCTTTCTTCAATAATAACATTAGTAATAATAATATGAATAGAAATAACAATGTTGACAACAGTAACGATATATCGGAAAACACACTGCCAGCTTTACTCAGTTCACCAGTTTACGGTACAATTATTTCTATAAGTTTTAAATTTTAAAAAATATATTTAATCCACTTACTGAAGCTGCACTATACTCTTTAACATCATGTGCATTTGTGTGTTGATCTGTAGTGACACCAACCCAAAAGCAGTCTTGGCATAAATTATAACGAGGGCATCGAGTACATTTATATCGTAAACCGCATATTTGTTCACGTTTACAACCTTCACAACGTACATTATGACGTACTTCAAAACAAAAAAAAAATAAATGAAGTATCAGCATTTGTATCTCAGAATGTGATTATCTGAATGTAAAATGGTAACTATAATGCTGACAAGATACATATACCTTCGGACTTAATATATTTTTTTATCATTGTATATATTCAAACCCTTAATGGGAAAACCGGGTTTTTCATTTCAGACGTATCCAAGAATGGTAAAATTTTGTGCGTGTTCTGTTGCTACTTTTAAATGCGATAGCTTAATAATCGCAGATACATCGTATCCTTATGTTGGACTAGTGAAAACCAGTTGTACAATGTCAGCGGTTGTAAGGATGAAAAGACTTGAGTTCGTTTAAGAATAGAATTTGAAGACTGTTTTAGAACATAATTCCATACCAGACAGGGTTATTCAATATAAAATGCTTTGAGTCAGTATTAATAAATGGATTATTTTCTGAGCTCAGTGTATTGCTCATAGTCATATGAATACATTCACACTACTTTTTAACTTATTTTAAAAGAAATGCAGTTATTAACAGCGTGTTAATGTGCAACATGAGACAAGGTTATCTGATATGGAAAGATGAGAAGTTGAATTTAGCTATCATTTAGAATTCAACAATGTATTATATAATATCGTGCTAATTAAACAAAAGTTCAGAGACTTGTACAGATAAAGATCGCTCACTAAACCGACCGAACCTGAAATACAGATGAGTAGGATTTTTTTCAAATGATTGGAAATTTAGCAGATTTTCGCATGATAGAGATGGCTTAGAAAGTTTTGTTCTTTGATTGTTGGTGTTCAGCTGTTGACGGAGAGTTAATTCACTTAATTGTGGTTGACAGCAAGCTGAAAGAAGCTCACTTATTGAAGATGAATATTTCCTCGAGAAATCAGATGATCAGCAGTAAGTACTGTGTGGCAAACATTATTGTCATCAAAATCTAATTTTAATGAAAAGTGTATTTCGCAATATAGCACTAATTCAACCCAATAAAAATTTTTTTACTCCCTAGTTAGATTCCTTATTGGAAATCCAGCAAGTTCACCACATAATCTTTGAAAAGTGTACTTAGCAAAACACCTTATGATCACCATGCATGCATTTGAAGTATCCCTCCCAGTTCTCGACTTCTTTTGCATACACTGCGTATTTCGCAATGGTAGCAGGCCTCATATTTCTTTTGTTAATCAAGCCTTCGATTTTATTTCTGAAACAGTGACAATGAAGTAAAACAAATACAGCCAAATAGTTGGAAGACTACAAAATGAAGCTTTCAGCGACTACACAAGTATATATGAAATAAATCATCAGTATTTTATTTCCCTACAACTATCATCTTAAACAAAATATTCATATCCCAACTTTTTCTTTGTTTCACAATAATTTTCCATGTGTCATGTGCTACTGACGAGGACTGAGAAGTAGTATTTTGATAACACCTTCTGCAAGAATCTTGAATAGCGAGGTGATGTATTAAGTTTGAAACAGGAAGAATGAAGACGATACCAAAGCAATATAGAAAGCATAAAATGAAGACAAAAGAGGCAGAATACAAATAAATTTTGCTAGCTAAGCTTTCAGTGTAGGGTTTTCATCTTTTCCCATGACTATGCGTCATTTTGTCATTTCTGCTACCAAATACTAGTGTGTTCTGCTTTTATATTTAGTTTTAAAGATATAACACAGATTCAAATAAATGATACACTGTAACTGGGTAAATTAAACTTCCAAAGTGAGCTCAGAAGCTTTGTGTTCAATTTCTTTGACAGTACGGAGAATAACTATGAAGGTAAAATGCACATACTTTAGTACGCAATACCTGACGGTTACATATGTTAGCAAAAGAGAAAAATATTGTTAATTTTTTTAAACATTGATGATTTATCACATGTCAGGAGATCATAAAATGAAGTAGCACTATCTTCTCGCGTCTAGTAGCACATAACCTTCATGCACAGTGGATTATTCATCGGTGGATTATTATTCAGCCATTCTGTGCATTCTAGTCATTTGTTATAAGAAACAAAAACCGTTTTTGTTATTGCTGAAGCTTTTCTAACGCAGGTAAAATCATGGTTACGTGACAAAAATGTAATACATGAGTTTAAAAATTTCAAACCAATTCCCGACTTATGTTTATAAAGTATTTAACACAAATATGATAATTAAATTTAACACAGCTCTAGTTGTGTCTGCGTACTATAATAAAAACAATGTCTTTCTATTTTATAATAACTCTGACTTCTGTTAAGATATATTGCATATACTTTATGATGTTACATGTAATACTTTTTTGTATCTTGAGAAAATGACGCAGAGTTTCAGACTTTGTGCATAATAAGTGCCTAATTACAATAAAAAAGATCTGTTGACTTCGGTACATATATGTAACTTGATTTTAAATACCTTTGGGGAAAAACAACATAGTGGTCCGCATATATTTACAAAAACTGCATTCGTACAATAAAAATCTATAAAGAAAATAGGAGTAATATCAAGTTCACTTTATTTAAAAATGCAAACAACAAAAGCCATAGCTGCGAATTTTATTTTAGTGAATGTAAGCTGTCAAAATGTGTGCATCCTGTACATTATTCCCAGTTTAGTATATAGGTATGCATTTCATATAAATTTAGGACTGTCCCAAAAAAAAACGCAGAATATCTCTCCAACTTTCACCTTGTAATTGTTATATAGCAAAGACTTTAACAATTACTACTCAGTATTAAAACGGTAATATAGTCTGACAAAGTATACTTTCTTATAATACAACTGAGAGTTCCGTTTGATATTTTGGCACAACTCGATAATGTAAAAGGGATTTACATACTTATTCATAAGTCATTTTTAATAAAATCATATTATATAAGTATAGATATATACGTTTCGACTTATTCCCCGGAGAGGATAACAATAATAGCTTTATTCTGAAAATTGAGTTAATACATTTTACAGAATTTTCAGCAAGGTTCTTATAAATGGTATTTACTCCTTGTGCTAAATCTTCAATTGATATAATAAACGATTATAAATCAACTTATGCTATATTGTCTTATCCGAGGCATGCCCCACTAATCTAAAATGTCTCCTCTATTACCGTCAGAAAATTAGTAGTAATACGTTGATTCCTATTTGGAAAGGTGTCTCAGTGTACTTTGCGATTCTTAGACAATAATGTGATTGAATAATATGAAATGGAGTAAACATGATACATTTAGATAGCCCAGTGAGTTGAACAAGCCACAAAACACATAGATGTCGTAAACAAATGTCGATGAGTACATAATACTGAAAACCATTTAAATTCAACTGGTTCATTTATGATGCAGAAACATTTTATTCCTTAAACTTAGTTCTGAATAAAGGCGCTTACCATTCTCGACACTGGATAACCGATGGAAAACTGTAAGCCAAACTAATACTTGTGGTCCTTGATCGGATAGCATACGATCCAAAAATTCCTCTAGAACTACATTTTTTGCACGCTTTCGAAAAAAAGAAGAATGATCATAAAACTGCAATATACAGTGAAAGTAATTTTAAACAGTTGGGAAACAAACATTATATGGTACGAACAAAACAAGCGTTAATGATACGGTGAATGTAATGTTGTCTAATTAAGCAATTAGCGAAAACGAAAACCACAAAATTCGATGGCGAAATATTTATAATCTAGATTCTATTATATTTTCGAAAATACAGTATTGAGGTCACATAAAATTATTACTTAATGGTTTATAGGTTTTCCAGTGGATAGGGTTCCACAACTCAAGCATGTTCTGAATTTATCTTATGTTCTGCATCAATAAACTACTGGATCTAACTAATAAGAAACCTTTTCCTCCTTTCAGCTCACTTCTGCAGCTGGAAGAAGCAAGAACTTATTAACCACTAGTTGTGGTAATAATAAGTGTGACTTCTAAGACACTATCAAATATCTTAAATAATAATAAATTTTACCAATTCACAGTTTTACATCAGAAAAGGTTCAATAGTACTATGAAAAAGAAAAAACTGCATATAACCTGATTATATATTTTCAACAACAGATGCTAATTATGGTTATATTTTTTAGTGAACTATAGATGGAAATTCCGCTGCTTTTTGGAGAATGGGCAATATGAAAATGACTACATTACCACCAATATCATAGGGATTCCTATTGAGTGATGTTGGTGTATTAGATGTGCTCTCAAAGCATCACGTCTTATTTTGTAGATTCTAAGAGTAAGCAGATCAGATCAATGAAAACTAGTAAATAGAAACACAAAACTGCGCTATCACTGTTTGGTTTATAACGAAATAATTAAGCTTTGAGGTTAGGCATTTAATAGATGGTTGAGTTTTCATCATGAAACTTATATTTCACTTTCAGGCAAGTAACTGATCATCAAGAATTTATTTGTATTCTGTATCAGTTCCTTTTACACAGCTAGTAATAATTCATTTAAATACGAAATGTTCAACAAAATCCTTATTAACTTCTCCATTGAAATTCATAAGGGCCAAGTATGAAGATAAATACATTTACATAATTTATATTCAGAAATCAAAATGTACTAACTAAAATTATTCTTTTTATAATTGAGATAATAATAAAATCGTATCAACATAAGTGGAATATAATGAGAATAAATACTATTATCCTTTTTCAATAGCTCAAATCATAACTAACTATTGTGGAGATATCAATGGAGGGAAGCATATTAGCAACTTACTCCAGTGAACATTGTGTGCGTAGCTTGTAATGTGTGATAAAAATTTAGGCCTTCAAAAACACTTATTGGCAACTTTAACAAATCCTGCAAATAAGCTTCAAACTTTGAAAAGACTAAAGCACCAGATGGATCTGACAGGAGAGTGAAATGATCTAAAATCAAAAAGGAAATAGTAGTCCAAACAAGTCAAATTCATTTTCACAATAAAATATTTAAAATGTGGATGTTTGTACATCTAATATTTGAATACTCAGACCAATAGGGAAGAAACACTAAATTAATTAAATTACCAGTAATTTAATTTATTCTGATAATTGCTCCGAAATGCAGATACCACGTTATCAGTAGATTTGTTATTAGACTGTTACTGTAGGAACAGCCAAAATTCATCCCCGTGGATTAAACAGAAAGAAATAGCAAGAAAACAAAAATAAATGGTAGGCTGAGAAACTGGTATGGGTGGAAGACACCTACCTGAGTAACAGCTACATACTCCGGTTATCAGTAGTACGAATTTCCCTGCTGATAAATATATGCCATACTGTAAATACTAGAAACGACTGGCATATACATGTTGATATGATTTCATCAGGCTAATTGTCTTTAAGTTTCAAGGTGAGTATTTGTTTCATATATTGATTACTTCACAACAAACAATTCAGTGTCAACTATCTCCTGCTTGGCGGACATTACCGTTCTACCAGGGACACTCCAAACGCGTTCCACAGCATAGAAATAAGCTATCAATTTTCCTTACATTTATGAATTCACTGTGACTAGAGTTTATCAAATATTTTGTCCAGGAGGGTGCAAGAACACTATCCTGCATGGTTACGAAGAGATGGAAATGGAGCAATAAGAAGCACGATCATTGAACATCTGGTCGATAATGATCACCCTATCTCTATAGCCTCCGCCTTTAAAGTCATCTACAAGGCAAAAAGTAATTTACCGAAATCAGTACGTACCCGACTCATCTGTGATGCTGAAGCTTTGGCTATCGAAACAGAAAAGCCAGATCTCTGTGTACAGAAAAAGTTCGTTCAACCCCTCCAACTTTCATGGTCTTAATCCCTCTATGATAGAGTATGGTAATCCCTAATCATATTTTGGCTCTACTAATTTTTTTCATTTTGTCTATTCAATTTGTATGCTCTTCCTTTATTACGTCAATTGTTACTATTACTATTCTCAATTTGAACTGTCCCCGGTATTATTTCACTTGTTCCACTTGTTATTCTAAATCAATTCTGTCTTGCAACATTAAATTCTATGTTATCAAATTTCACACAATATTACGTAACGTTTTTATTTTATTCGATTTGTCTACTAATCCTATAATTGCACACCCTTTCCAAGTTCTATCCATCCTATGAATTATTCTATATATGACATTAATTGTTTTGCCACTTGACATTTAACTATGATTATAATCAAAAACACTTTAATTTTAACTGCATTTCATACTATTATTATTATTTTATGCATTCACACCTCTGATTCAACTCCCTCATCGGATATAATTTCTTAAAAACCATATATATATATACGACTGTACAGCTTGATAATAAATTCGTTGAAAAGAGTTTCTTCGCTGAATCACTTTTTTTGATTTTCTTTATTTTTCATTACTTCGTAATGGACCTCAGTTTATTGCATTTGTTGGAAAAAATACTGTGGCTATTATCAAATTTTGTTAGACCAAAAATTTATCCAACATCTGAATAATAGTGGATAAAGAGGTTGGCTGAATGATTTTCTGAAATATGTTAATTCAGAGATAAATTCTACGAATAAAAGGCATATGAAAATTACCACCAAAACCATCATGCATGCAAGATTTTAAGTTATGTGACAGAAAACAAGGTATTATATTGATATAGGTATAAAACTTGGGCACTGTGGTAGAGTATAACTGCATTATAGATAAGATTTTATATTGATAAATTACACAGTGTCATACAGTAATATTAACTGTATAACACTGTGTGATTTATCAAAATAAAATCTTATCTATAATGAAGGTATTATTATTACTACGATGTTTTAAAAGTGACAGTCTGAAAGTCTGTTGGTTTGGTCTAAATGATATTCAATTCATTTTAACCTTCTGAGTTCGGAAAACAGGGTCTTAAATATGAGTTGACGAAATCGATGAAATTGATAGAAATCATTCGATATTTTTGAGCAACAAATTTTATTTGAAATTTCAAACCAAAAAGTAAAACCACACCACGAGGTGCTGCGAGAAACAGCAACCTACCATAGCGTTTGTGAGGGGCTGCTTTTATTTCAACATCGGTTAATGTGTTTTACTCGTCAAGAGAACTGATATATATTGTATATAATAAATAGAATGAAACAATACTTTTGCACCCTTACACATAAAAGTTAGCTTACATCTGAATTTGTCAGCTGGTCTCGCATTAGTTAACGTTGACAGGGCGACTTTAAGTCCATTTACATTGAAACGACCAGTTGCGCATAAGTCTAAGGCATAAACAAGCCAACCAAAGAGAATCTCAGCTGCTACATTTAGCAAGGAAGGCCCAACTGTGTGACCAGACTGTGTATCATCAGTTTGATTATTTATATCCAAGATGCTTGTAGGAATATACGAATATATGCGAGATAGCAAACGGAATGTGCTTGCATAATCCAGGCTCGCTTGAGGATCGTTCAGTTGATGTAAACCAAATTCTCGAAACGTTTCTACTACTTTCCACAAATCCATGACATTAACTGTGGATAAAAAGTATCGAAACATTTTCATATGTTTCAAATGATGAAATAAAATTTACATAAAAATTACAAAAGCACAAACGGAGTATGTTTCCTGGGTCATCATTTCTTCAAAGTTCTATATCCTAAATGTCTCCATAATTTTATTTTCAGAAAACCGCTAAGTTGGAAAGAAGTTTTTGACATTCGAAGCAAATCTAAAGTTACACTAAATACTGAAGACCAGATCAGCTGTTTCTATCTATTAAAACGTACCGCAAAGAAGCATATTTGACTTCAAAGTAACAGTTATGACAATAAGAAGTTAATTGGTGGATGGTGACTAGCGGTGGAATCCAGGATGCGCATTTCATCCTTAATCTAAAACTGAATTAAAGTTATGACAATAGTTTGCAATAAATTAGTCTTCTTGGTGTGCCATTTATTATTAGATCCAGAATGACATTCAAGAAGTTAAATATATCAAAGGTACATTGTACCTCATTTAAGCAGCTTCGATGCAGTTAATGACAAACGAACGCTTCTGAGGATGATGTTCTGTCGAGCAAAAAGAATATGTTCAGCTGATGAACTAGGCAGTGAATAGATGTTATTTCAGAAATGTCTGAAAGAAAATGGTTGACCACAAAGCTTCATCAACAATTGAAGTAAGACTGAATGTAATAAACAAGAAAAGATAACTGTTGGCAAAAAGCCAGCTTTTAGCTTTGATTTCAAAGGTGATAATATTATGAGTATGATGAATAACCACTTAAGTGGTGAGCAGGTTTGTGTCCTAAATAAGTCTGTCGTTCGACTTTAGTTACACTGATAACTCCAACCTTGGCAACTGTTTGTTTTCACGTTGCATCCACTCTAATTCCCTGTCTTCTTTTGACTTTGACTTTAGTTTTCGTTCTCCTGACTTCTACTCACCGCATTTTATTGTTTTATTGAGAAATTGTTGCTACCAACAACACTAAATTTCTACAAGACTCTTTATTCTTATAATATATGTAGACATATATGGCGATACTTTAATGTCACTAATCAACCTTATATTTTATTTCGCTCTGGTGCTTTCACTCCACTGGAGGACTTATTACTGTTGATAAACAAAAGTTAAACTTGTATTACAAATGACTGTATCAAGTGTTACATGTTGTAAGTAAACGAAAAGAGACTGAAAAAGAGGACTCATTTTATTCTGCTCCAGTGTTTGTTCTTTCCGTTTTCTAATTTACAAAACGGAGATTGTATATGAAATTTTCACACAATGCATAATTTTCAAGTGTCGCTTTCACAGGGATTTGATCGATTTCACTTTTGATCACGAACTGACTTCGATTACAGAACCACTGTAAACCAGGGAGTACTGGGTAGCTGTTTCGTCCTTGTCTAAGAATTTTCATCAGCACGCGTCCATGACCCCACTTGAAATCGAACCTAAAACCTTCAAGTTGCACGGTGAACACGAATAGCATTCGTCCACTAGAACGGCACCCAGTCGCCCATCAGTTCTGACTTCTGCTTATTTTCAACATAGCGCGAGCGTCAGTCAGTTTTATCATTCAGTATCTGTCCTCACGTTCAACTTTGTGGTCCCGCTGGTCACGACTTCCCGCTAGAACTCCAGACAGCTTCAATCTGTAATCCTTGCACTGTGAAGCTCCTAGGATCTCTCCCTGGTGAGGTCATAAGTGCATACTGCTGAAAACCCCAAACAAAGACGAAACAGCTGTGTAGCAACCTCCAGTTTACAACAGTTTTCTAACTGAATACAATTAGTGATCGAAACTGAAATCAGTACATGGTTTATAGTGAACTTTACTGAGAAATGTTTACTGTAGTACAGGATCTTCAAGGGAAAGAATAGTCACTAGCATTTCATTTTACCTCATCATACTTGCCTTAGACACTAATTTCCTCACTATTACTTCCATAATATGATTACATAAGCATAAAGAGATATAAAAGAGTGGTTATATGACATAACCTTAGATTGACAGAGTGATATATTTGTGAAATGTGGCTCCGTAGTTCATTGGACTATGCACTCATTTTTTAACCGTTACGTTACACTTTTGAACCCGTCTTCATCTGCTAACACTATGCGCAGTCACAACCACTCACGTAGCAGTTGTGATCCATTACACGCCTGTGGTTGTAATGTGATATATCATCCATAGGATGACTTGTGAAAAACTATAATGACTGAAACTGATTTGTGTTTTATGGTGATGCAGGTTTTCATTTCAATCATGATATATTAATATCGAATCAGTTTGACAAACTTAAGTATATTTACTAGAAAAATAAGTCTCTGTTTACTTTAGGAATCTCGGTAAAAGAAGGTCTTCATCTGAGAATATTTCCCCTGGGCGTCTTATTTCCTGAGCGATTTAATGTAGTTGTCAGAATGATTTTTCAATTACTACACTGTGTATAAATTCATTTCGTCCGCTACACCGACGTTCAAATGAGCCAATTAAGTGGCATAGTAAGGTATATTTTTATGTATTTTTGACTTAGGTTCTTATTATGAATGTCCGCTGCTGTGAATTTACTAAGAATAATCAGCTTCATAAACCTGACGTGCAAATAAAATTGTGGCTGGGTACTTATCGAAGTGAGATTTCACTGTATCTCTATTGTGCTTTTTTATGTTTCTTTTGAAAGAAAATCAAATTTAAGCAGGTAATATTTCATCTGTTTTATGTCTCTACAGAGGAGAATAAAGCTTTATTTTCACAATAAGGATGTAATTTTTTCTTTCATGATTTCCATAAAAGGCAGAATAACTGGTCATTTGATCATGTAGATTGAAGTCAAGATATCCTCTCAGTCTGATGAATTAGAACTGTATGAATTATATACCTATGTATTGTTATGATGCTAATATATGATATTGAATTTCCCAGTCGAGTATATCCTAACCCGAAGTACTAAAATCCAGAAGACTCACACGGCAAGATTAGGAACTTGCATTTCCAAAAAAAAATAACCAAGAGGTCAAAGTATATTGCATATATTGATCCAACCACACGCCTTGAATAGTAGGCGTTAAATGCATGCTGGATTCTGATTGGTTGAAGCCCAACCTGTGATATGTGATTTGTTTTTATCTAACAGACTATTGAGACGGATCGTGAACAAATATCAAAGTGACAGCATAATGAGAAAAATTGTTGATATATATATATATATTCGATGTTTTCTTTATCTCCTCAGAATGTGTCCAATAAACTTGCATATCCTTTTTCACTTGGTTCGCTTCAGGAACTCTTTGTCATTTGTCTTTTCCGGCCAGCCATCTGATCTTGTTATTAATGTAAGTCTTCAGCCTGATGGAAATGCTTTTCGTGATGCGAATTCACAACTTTCACAGTTCTACGAGCTGAAATTTCGTCATAATTTCCTTGAAAAACGAGATTATCCAGATTACAGTATGTGATCTGCTTGATACCACAAATGGTAATCAGGAAAACAAACACATTTTTATAAAACTATATACTACTGATTAATCGATATAAGTAGTTAAATAGCACTCACACCAGCAGGTGTAACTAGTTGGCCCAAGTAACTAGCCGGAAATCAGGTGGTTTGAATTCATCAGGCTGTTTGAGCTCAGTCAAACTGGATGCACCGCTGATGAGCTCGGCCACAAACGAGCAATCCGTCCGGTGTTTAGACCACTTCTGTCTGGCTAACAGGTCCTGCTACTTGATGTAAGTGGTATGCAACCACATATTTCAATCAATCAGTAGTATATACTTTTATTTGACGATCCGATTCTGACTTTGAAATCCTCATGACTGTCGTTTGTAGTTAAAATGGTGCTGCCTAGATAAGGGAAAGATGTGACTTCCGTTTGATTTCTACCACTTACAGCAGTCGGTATTTGTTACTGGTAAAGTAAGTTTGTGACCTATGCCCTCCCTATGTTCACTTGAAATTCTGTCTTCTCCACTTCTTTTCTCACGTGCGCATATAATGGTAATGGTCAATAGAGGAACTTGATTATTGGGGAAAAAACTGTATGATGATTGGAGTCCAGATGTTAACTGATGATCTTTTTATTAGATAGTACAAATCTACGTTCCATTTTAGATGGAAGATTAGCGAAGAAGAAATATTAGCAATCAATTCAACTAAATTTCTGTTAGCATCTGAGAACATAGGGATTTGCATACCCGACGGAGGTCAAATGTGAATACCATAAAAACCAGTTTAAAAAAATCCTACATCATACACCCAACAACAACTAAGAAAATAAAATTAGAGTATAAATGAGCCGTCTGAATAAAACATAAAAACTCAATATGAAATTATATCCTTTATAAAAATTACCATCTAAATAAAACTTAATTCAACTCAATAAAACTAAGCGATAAGTTCAGTAAATGCAGCAATGAGTGACGTGGGTTCGAATCTCAGAAGGGAAATGAGTTCCTTCAAGGTTGCAGATACCCCTTCCTGACAAGTGCCAACTGGCACGAAACCTAGGTCCAAGGCTTCCTGCCGATTGCCTCCAACCATCCAATATCAACCATTCAAAGTGACCATGATGGAAAGCCACCTAGAATGCTGGCCACATTGCAAACTTGACTGATAGAATTCATAACCATTGTAATATTCGACAAGCTGCAGCCGACGACACTTGCTAAATAGAATGCGGTCATTTTATACTTGAGGTTTAGTCTTTCTTTCCTAACCGAAATGTATCAACTGTGCAGAAAATATTTAAAATGTGTTCATTATCTTTATATTTATAGTATTGTATGTACACTGAGTGATTTGTATCCTTCATAACTTAATAGATCTATACTGGTATCACTCATCTATGCACAAACCTATAACTACTGGAGTGTAAAATTTGAGCAAACTAAAGACTGCATATATTAGCGTATAGAAAAATGCTGGATTTATAGTTCGTTCATAGATATCACAAAATATTGGACAATGACTACACTAACTCTATCGATTTCCCATCTTTGTGTGTTCTTATATTGTATTACGTTTAAACTTAAATCTCTTCTTTAGATTAACACTAACGCCAAACAGATTTTTTATGCTGAACGCCGAAAAGGAATGTCTATTTACAGTGCTATGTAGCCATATGGAGGGAACAGGCTATGGTCGCTAGTCATCTAACATAGAATTACAAAAGTTAGTCTTATCGAAACGGATAGACTTCACTAACTTCCCAGCAAACCTCAAAAGCCTTTTCAGCTTGAAATTAGAAAACATTCCTTCCTCAGCGAAAATAAAACGTATCTTCAAGTTCAGTACATTTACGGTAACCTTTCTTTTAGGTGGGGTTTTCACAATAATAAAATCATTAAAGTGAATGATTGAAACTGGGAGAAAAATCAGATTCAAGCTGCAACCTTCACCTACATGAATGTTTCAACTTATGCTAATCGTTTGTACTCTGAGAAGGACCAACAAGTTTTTCGGATTTCACTAAATGTTATATTACTACCATGAAACTAGTTTTAATCCCAGTGGTAAATGTTTTGTCGATTAAACAAATCATAGATACTATTCGACTATTATTATTTTTATTATTATTATTACTATTGTTATTATTATTTTATTCTTTGGCATCAATATTAAGAAAATTTTATTGTTTACTGTGTTATTAGGTTTTAAACTTAGAAAAATACAATAATGAGTGCAAACATAGAGCATTAAAAAGGATATTTTAATCCATAAATTTCCAAACCCCTAAATTTGAATATAGCTCACCAAAATGAGATAGAAAACTTCTTAAGACAGTCAATATAAAATCGCAAAGTTATCGTTCTCTGTAATAGTCAGGAAGCGTGATTTAAAATTATTTAAGTTTCAAATAATTCAATCAGTTATTCAGGTAATTATCCAAGTATTGTAAAAAGAATACGAACTCATATACTATTTAGAAACCAACGAACTTTTCGCCTTGTTGCAAGTAATATTTGCCTCTTACACTCTCTTGAATCATACTTTTTTGTATTCAATTAAAGCGGAAGAAACCAAGTAAATGAAAAAGTATTTTTAACCAGTTGGAAGTTCTCCCGATCCCATAACAGGTTGTAGCAAATAACATAATTACTCAGTAAGTACCGTTATAAGAGTCTCAGCTATTTCGATAGATTTTAGTTCTTCAAGGTGATAGAATGTTTCTTAATAAAGTAATATTTAGAAGACAAACAAACATTTGACCAAAGAACATTCTTTCTGACAATTTTCTCTACTGATAAAACAGTTATCTAGACATATATATTTACATATATGAAGAATATACTAGAATAATCGCCATTAAAAATATTGGGCCTTTTAAATAATATCGATTTGTCAACAACAATGAAAAAACAGTTCAAGAAACACGCATATTCCAATATTGGTTTGCAGGAATTTCACTGATTTCAGGATTTCAACATGAGTTGACATTGGTTAGAAACGTAAGTAATGACAAGCATAAATATGTAATAGTTAATAGAATATAAAATAAAATTAACGAAATTTCTACAACAAACTAGAAACAATTCAAATTTTCATGTTCAAGGTATGCATTTGACAGATTTGATAATTGAACTAGAATTCCACTGTCGTTACATGAATTATACATTTTTGATTGTGAAAAATGAGGATGAAGCAAAGAACAACTTTCACAGATTTAACGATGTTTATCCTGCAATAAACTTTACCATGGAGAAAGAAAGAGACTCTAGTATTTCATTTCTAGACGTCCTTATGACCAGAAAAGAGGACGGCACAATAAGAAGTGTATATAGAAAACCTACATCGACGGGTCAGTATACTCATTTTTTTCGGCTTCATACCTTTGAAATACAAAAGCAAACTGATAAAGTGCTTGGTCCACAGAACAAGAGCAATCTGCTCAGACGAATGTCTTAATGAAGAACTTAATATCATTAAACAGCTTCTGAGTGAGAACGGTTACCCAGTAAAATTCATTGACAAGAATATGAATCAAAAGTCAAGGCTAGCCAAAATACCAACAGTTCCAAAGAAGCCTTGTTCTTCCAACTTCAGTTCCTCGAGGATAACATCAGTGAGATTTTAACACAACGCCTAAGGAATGTGGAAAAAAGAGCATCCAATGACACTGGAGTGTGCTGTCTCTTCAAAACTACCCCTATTTTGCGTTCGGGATTCAAATTTTTCTTCTTCTATGTGCACCTACCAATATGACTGCCCCTGTAGGCAGTGCAACTAGGCATGTTTATAGTCGGATTTTCAAACACCGTCCTGTGTGATTAAGTAAGGAAGAATCAAAGTTGATTCGTAGTTCTGTAATGTCTCATCTCGTAGATACAGAACACAAAACTGATGTAAACAAGGCCTTCACAGTCATCTACCCTATACCAACTAATCTTAATTCCACCTCAAGAGTTCGGCTATTACATATTGCTGAGGCTGTTGGAATCTACATTTAAGAAGTCTAATCTATTTATCCAAAAGAAACAGGTTGAGATGCTTTCCTTACCTTGGCTATCAAGGTTTTATGACCCTTAATTTGTTGTGGAGATTTCCTTGATTTTATTTGGTATTCTATTTACGATTACATTTTTGTACTTATTTTAACTTATGCATCTTCCTTGAGCTGTAGTTTCACTGATCATGACAAATCGATATTATTTAAAAAACACCAATATTCAAGTGTTGGTTGGCAGGCATTTAATCATTTTGAGGATTTCATCATGACCTGACATCGGTTACAGAACTAGTGGAAAACCTGGGAGTACTGAACAGCTGTTTTGTTCTAGTTTGGAACTCCTCAACACACACTGGGATCGTAACCCAGGACCTTTCGCTTACAAGTCTAGACCATTAATCCACTGCAGAGCCGGAAGAGCAAATGATCGAAAAGAATATTCTTTGCTGAAACTTTTGTTTCTTCTAAACGTTTGAATGAGTATTTCCGGTATATTAAAGTGGTACTGAAAGGTTGAGAACATTCTCTAGGAAATTTTACTTTTAGATAAGGGTGGAGATGTCATATAGTGTCTAGTTAAACGAACTAGCTTGAAAGATTCTCTACTTTCTACTAAATTGAATCTTGAAACTATTCAGACTTCATTAATATAATGTAGTGTTGGTGTGCTTTGTCTCAGAAAATGTGAGAGTATGATTACAAAATATAGGAGATATAAATATTTGATAATGAGTATTATAAATGGTACAATAATTTCTCCATGTATAAATAACACAACTTACATAATGTTCGTTGTTGAATAAATCGAAGTTTGCTTGCAGTACGATAGGCAGCAAAACGAATGGAGTCGAAATGTTTCGTGCCTAAAAGTGGGTAAAAATTGTTTTACCAGTTTTGAGCTAACATACGAATTACTCGGCCTGCCTCAGAAAATTTGATAATAAAGAATGATAGGAACTTTAATTAACCATAGATGGTAAAGCGGTTCCTACGTACAAATGTAAATAATAAACTTGGTTTAGATATTTAAGATTGTTTCAGCCACCTTTCGCGGATCCTTCCTCCTTTATAACTGCTAAACGGATTCGAAATTTTCATATTTGGCAAGGAACAGTGGTACTGTATTAGCAACTGGACAACATCCCGAGCACTACTCATTGCACATAATCAAATGAATTTATTAACACTACTTCCTAACTTGCTTAATAAAGCTCTTACTCCCTCTTTTTTTTAATACCATTTTCCTCGGTATTGTATCCCTTCTACTGCATTTATTGAGTGTTCACTAGATGAAAAAGATCCAGTGATAAATATCTCTGTCGTCCTAAATATATTACTTTTCAAAACTTTTATCTTATATCATTCGGCTGCGTGATTATTTTCAATTGCATGTATAGCTATAGATGAGCATTTTTTCTAAATTAATTACCCTATAAAGCTATTAATTCTAGATCTAGCTAAATTCCTATATTCTGATACCATGGCTGACTCCGAAATACTAGTCTAACCAATATAACTGAGCTCAGAGTTATTACATGGTATTTGGTGTTCCACCTAATTGTGTCGAAGATTCTACTCTTTGTTAGCAAAAGAGGTTAAAATCATCGATTAACTAATAACAAGCTAATAAAATATTTCAACAATACATTAACATTGTTCTCTAAAAATGCACAGTCAAATCTCTGTGTGTCTGCAGAACATTTTAAAAAGAAAGTTCTGTTGGGTAAAAGTTAACATTTTATTATGAATTGACGCGTTGGAGGGCTGTTCACCATGTTCCGGATTCACTTAAATTTTAAAATCCGGTGTAAATCGTTTAAAAGAATGAGAATGAATTAGTATAGCCACTTCTTATTCACTACATTCTAGTAAATATCATTCGTCTGCTAATTGTTGGGTTTGATTTCAAAACTACAGTTGATCTGTATATGTTACCGAGACCAGGTAAGTGTTTTTGAAGCTATTCATTCTGTGCATAAAATCTAGTAAACCTTTTTGAACATAATGATGTCATCTTAAATTCTGTCCAGTTCATGCTGATCTACATGAGTCATTATTCATTTGATAACAATAAAATGTGATAATTCATAAAACTGATAAGCAGTAAGTGGATGTACGTACAACAATTTTTTACGTATTTAAGGGGAAAATCCATGAAAAATTACTGTTATCAAGCATTATGTATGGCATTATTTGAATTGGATTCCTACAATCTTATGATTTCATGCTTTCCAAATGAATTCCATCAATATCTTCTTAAAAGTCAGTTAGTTATAAAAAGCTAGCTAGAGATTGACTAACTTCACTAGTGTAACATCAATTTTATTTGCGCTCTTGCAACACTTGCGTGACATCCGGCTATCAACCAAGGGACGTGTGTACTGCTCAGCAGTTCGCTTCGTCCTTCTCTATGGCGGTGAGACGTGGCCATTGAGAGCGGAAGACATGGAGAGATTGTCTGTTTTTGACCACAGATGTTTACGATCTCTTTCTCGCGTTAGGTGGTATAATAAGGTAAGTAATGTTGACGTTAGGCGTAGAGTGTTGGGCAAAGAGGGAAAATCAATCGAAGAGGCTATAAAGTTACATAGATTGAGATGGCTAGGTCACGTGCTGCGCCTGCCTAGCCATCGCCTCCCCCGACGGGCATTACTAGCTGATATAGGTGCAGGTTGGAAAAGAGTAAGTGGTGGCCAAACAAAAACATGGCATCAATCCATGAAATCCCTGACAGTTAAACTGAGTCAGGTAGGGAGATGCAGACTTCCGGGTTGGGGCCCTCGGGACTCTAAGAATCAATGGCTGGAGACAATAGGTGACATGGCTCAAAATCGTTGTCAATGGCGCAGATGTATTCAGTCTCTCTAATCTTTCATATTCCTTTCTACCATTACTCATTCTGTTTCACTCTTATACTTGTCAAAACTCTATTGATTCTCTTCACTGATTTTCTTGTCTACCTTTGTGTGCTCTTTGGAACGTGGCAACTCGAACTGCTGCACTTCGGTGCCAAGTTCTATGTTGAATCCAGCCAGCCAGCTCTTGCAACAATTAGATATTAATAAGTGTCATCACATAGGATGTTTCGTATTGTGCTCTCCGATCCAGATGGTTTCGTTCTTGATATTCACTTCATTGTAGGAATGGAGTGAACTCACAGAAGTTAACATCACTCATGTCACAAAGAAAGTAGACACTTAAAGATGCAAAATGATGTCGGTGTCTTTTCTTCCAGCTATGAAACCTATCAGACAATTTTTCAGCCAAAGGCACCTCTGTACGAGATTGACTACTTTACCAACATTAAAATAAAATATATGCGTTTTTTCTTTTCTTGATAATTTACAAAAGCTATTTGCCCTCCGATGTTTATTGGAATTCCCATAACAATAACTAAACTTGAAATATCGGCAAAACGCCATCATACTAATATGGAGGTTTGGTAAAATATCGCTTCAATTTCAGATGAATATCAAAAACTGAATGTCATATGGAGTTCATGATTCTCGACTATCAGATTAATACAGCAAAGTAGTTAGATTGAACTTACCTACTACTAGCTTTCCTAAACTACTTTTGACACATCTGGATTCTGATTTCCCTATTTTGATCCTATAGTTTAATTTTGTCTGCAAAATTCACCTCTTAAAATATTGGTTCTATGAATATAGAGTAACTGATGGTAACCTTCAGCTTCAGGCACCTATTCAATTACTATCCACCTCCTATTTTAGGTCTTGTCGTTTAGAAGCACATCGATGATAACCACAGTGTGGCTTTATTTAAAACTTAGCCGCAAAAGTAACATTGCCATCAGTTTGGAAAAAAATAAGTTCCACAAATACAGACTGAAAAGTTTCAAACGTTTGCACTCCTTAACAATAATGTTAAGAAAATAGTAGATGAAGATGCTTATAGGGTAAATACTAATTCATGTTCTTACTTTAAATACCTATGATCCATTGCTCTAAATTTGACACATAACACTTTTAAAAAAAATCTGTATATTAAGCCAATATGAATGTAGTGTTGCTGTTTAAAGTTAATGTCACCTATCAGCATGATTATTTTTCCTATCATTTTACCGGTGGTGAAAGCTAGAATATAGTACACCTAAATGATGGACGACTTAATTGGCTTTGGTAGATCAGTATTCATTCACATAATTATAAAATCACCATACTTACATAAACTGAAGAAGACAAATGACATTATTTTAGCCATTTTTTTCCACTAAACAACGAATGAGTGCCCTATTTATTCCGTGCTTCATTAAATAGATTTTTAAGACATAGAGAAAGTCGACTGAGAAGAATGTTGCCTGATTCATAATTCACTACAGAATGAACCAACTCAAGTGTGTCAATTACGATTGTCTTCGACATTTTTGAAAGAAATAAGTGATAAGTATTTGATTAGCTGCAGGACCTAATCCAATGGCCAGCCCATAAATTCTAACTTCTGCCAATTCATGACATAACGCGACCACTTCGCAATGTCTTCTTCAATGAGTTACTGCCTCACCTTCAACGTGCTGCACCCCACTGGTCACACCTTCTCACTAGAACCCCACGTTAAGTGCCTGGTGCTCACTAGCGACTGGCCCTATTGGTTGCGCTGTGATGAACTGCTGCATTAATTGTTTGTTTAGTTATCAACCCTTTAACATGTTAGTACTGACTAACCGTTGCTAACAAACTTATTACCAATACGTTGTTAAATCTTTTGTATCGCATTGAAAATGCTACTTATGATAAAGTAGAGTCATAGAAGAGAAGCTAACTGAAAATTAAATATTTCTCTGCTGAATCATTTTGCCTTCTAAATGTCTAAACGGTGATTTTTTTCGTAATGAACTAAATATCTCCTGTGAACAATTTGACAGGTGTTTTCAAGAGAATTACATGAGTAATACTAGTCATTGTTTTAAATTGAAACAAGGCTAGCTCCTAGACCATTAATCCTCTATAGAGCCAGAAGAGCAAATGATAGCAAAGAATATTCTTTGCTCAAATTCTAATTTGTCACTTAATAAACAATCACGACAGTGACTGTCAGGAGATACAATTTTATCATTCATGGAGAATTCAAATAAATCCATTTCAAAAGACTGATTACTGAACAAAGAACATTCTTTTCAGTTACTTTTTCATCAGTTTCTGCAGTTAAATTTCCATAATAATGAAAGAATTAGGGTTATTAGCAACATTCATGTTTAAACAACATCATATCAACAATATCATTAGATTATAGTTCAATAGCATCTTTGAGCATGGCATTATGCAACAACATAACTTTTCACTGAATATCAATCAAGTTAGGGAAAGTTATAATAGAAAATTCATGAATTTATTGGCTCGATAGATGGCCAGGACATCAATATTAGTTGGAGCTGTTTCTTCTGCACACAAAGAACCGATTGTTTTCGGAGGATTCCAATAGTATCTGCTGTTTGGAGTCTTCGGTACCTAGATACTTTAGGCAGTTTATTCAGTACCCGATAGATGATAGAAAAGGATTCTTCAATGCTAGTTTTATGGCCTATTCGGACCAGGTGGTCTAATATTGAGCTGTTAATGTTTCTTGCTGTATCCTTCATAATAAAAATTGCACCGCAAAATGTTGTCTAGAAGGACAACGAAAGCTTCGCGATTAAACCAACCAACCCACAAAACATAACTAAATCAAAATTGACAATTAGAATATATGGCTAGACACAGTTCGATTTTTGTCCTTGAAAGTGATGCTGCCCTGTTATTTACACAAAATATATCATTTTGTATTGAGTACAGTTAATTAGTGTCAATTATAAAAGAAAAAATTGGAAAATTGAATAAATACAAACTATTTTTAAATATTTACATTACTTATGAAATTCAAGAATTTTGTAAAACTAAACTAAACATAGCCACTTAAGAGCATCTGGCTCGGATTATGGCCAAAAATACTTCAAAGTCAACATACAACACCACTCAGAAAGAATGACAGCAATTTACTTTGCAATTCAGGCTCTTTAAAGTCTTAGAAGCAAAAACTATGCTCTGAAAAGAAATAATTATGTGTGATGGTGAATGTAGTCAGCTATGCAGTGGGTATTATCAGCACAGTAGGAGGGATTTTGGACTCTCTGAATGAACACACTAGCTTAAAGTTATCGCACCTGTTATTGTTTTCCCAAGCTATAATTCTGCAAGCAGTATGTATTCACGAATGTTATTGATATGTTTCACCATGGAGAAATGATTTAATCTGAAGACGTTTGATTCTTGCTTATCTCTGCACTCAGAACTCATGATTCAGTCTTATTAGTGAGTACTTTTTTTTAATACGGTGATGAAATGCAACTGAATTAATCTTAATGGGCAAAATTTATAATCTTTGTCTTACTAAAGGACATTCCACTTCCAGGTCATACCAACTTTGTCGAAAGAGTTTGAGAAACTAAATTATTCATATGTGCTTAATAAGTTAATAAAAATTTCTTTGGCTTTAAAATATTTAGTAAAAATTTGACGACCCCTGTCAAACAAAATATCACATAACATACGCATTTCAGCTAACAGCCTTTTAAATCCTAACGACGCTTGGTTTGGTGAGACCAGATTTGGATTTAATAGGGTATTTCTTACTGGTCCAGTCTGCATCACACTCGAAGGATTCTGGAAACCGGAAGTTGGAAATCTTTGTTGTTGCTGTTCCTGCTGTAACACCCTTTGTTGTGAATAACTGGGGACCATTATATGAGAAGAAATCACCGATGCATTGTTTCTATACGTATGCCTCGGTATTTCACTGTAATTTGGTCTAACTGATGCTGCTTGACTTTCAGCATGCTGTGATCTCATTATGTTAAACTAGAGACCAAAACTGGAATGAAACCATTGCATAATTTCACAAAGGAGTAGCTCAATATCTTCAGAAAATCGCAGTGTAAAGTTTTGAACTCTCTGGTTTGTATTTACCTACGGTTTGAAAAATATTGAAACTTTTATTACTAACCAATAAAACACAGCATAACAGTTAAATAAATCAAATTATATTGCTTTAAAAAAATTTTAGGCTGCATGCCGATATGAAATTGTAATTCATTGTCTTAGAATACTTGAATGGTCACCCAGAAGAAATAAGTGTAAGACCGATAATTTCTAGTTAAATTCTTTCGCCAGTCAGTATCTAGTAATGCTGATTTCCTAATAGAAGTTATTTTGAATTATTAGTTGATCTGAAAGTTTAATAAAGATTGTTCTCTTGTGTGAATCTCTTATCGTATGGTGGTCAGTGTGGCCGTCTAACCCTAAGTGGTTCGGGTGAAATCTGTTGAATGGTTATGTGCTATTGCTAATGACCTAAATGATCAGAAGTAACGTCTTAAAAATGTCTGCATGAGTAACTTTGATATCAAATGTTTAAAGAAGCCAACTGACTGCAAGTGTATTGATTAACTGTCTCTATTAATGTGCTGCATAAATGTTCATTTTTATTCTGTTCTACTTATCATAAATACACAGTAAAAATAATCCTGCAGAATACGAATTTCTGGCCTGTATTCTCCCCACTTTGTTTTCTGGTTTACCGGTATTCAGTCATCACAGGCTAATATTACAAATAAATATTACACTTAGGTTTCATGCCTGATGGCAGTTACCTGAAAAGCGCCTCTTTAACATTCAGGAGCAGCCTTTTATCTGTGTAGTCTACTATCAAGATAACACGCCTAACAAGCACTTGTATGAAGTTACTTCATATGATTTATTATCAGTCTAAAGTTTTCCACTTCTTGTTTGATGGACTCTTTTGACTTCATTTAAAATTTTATGACACCTGTACTACAAATTTTTAAATTTTATCTAGTACAAACATTGTAGAAGTTGTGAATAAACAAAATAATGATATAATATATTCTTAAAATATATCTTTTCAAGATTTGCTTAAAATGATGATTAGTGTATCATTGAAAGCTTCACTTCAAAGAATCCAAGATTCAAGAACTCTCAAAAAATAGTACTTATACTAAGCAATAAATGCCCTTTATTGAAATATTCACAATATGCTTAAATGCTTACTATTTCATGTTGTGTCAGCACCCAGTGTGAATTTATGGCAGAATAAACAAGGTTCAGGAAGTAATAAGATTGTTCATAGTCAACTAAAACTAAAGATAAACCCTTTGGAATAATAAACAAGGTAGTATATCCATCTACACAATGTTCGAATTATTTTCCATAATTTTATGCAAAATGAAGAAAGATATGCAGTATAAACATTTTGTCCACGTCCTCGTTTGTCTTCAGTGATAAATAATAGTCTGATTTGACATATCAAAGAACATTAGGCCAGTTGCATAATTATCAGATGGCATTTCATTTTGCAACTGTTGTTGATTTTAATCTCCCTAGAGAACTAGTTCAATGTATGGCATTCATAACTCTGTCAAAGTACGAAAACCCGGAGTTGTGTTCCTGAGATAATAACCCTGTATTAGTTTCCTCTTTTACTAACTAGGAAAGGCGCTTCCTTGTTTATGCCTGAGCCTTAAAGACGTAATTTAATAGATAAGAGTGGCGCCTAAGATAAGTATTTCAAAATTTTTTTCTATATCATTCACACATGTTGATAAAATAATGTTGCATAAATCCTTTGCACATCATCTCAAAGCAGCTTCATGTTGTAGACATTGAACTCTCAGAAGTGCTTGTGTGAGTTTTGAAACTAGTGTAGCAAGTGAGCTAAAAGATGCTAAGTTTTGCTGCTAAAATTACATATACGTACTACTTAGTAAGGCCCAAAGATATGTGTTCGCTAAACATTATACAAGGAACAAAGTACAAAAACAAATAACAGAATCAAAAATAAATGCACGCTGGTAGTTAAATAAATATTCTCAACATAATATTGCTACGGAAAGGAAAAGAGATTTCTATGTGCATTTTCCAAAAGCTAAAAACCACCTCAGGAGTATTAAACAATTTATACTAACATACACACGTATATATGCTAACTGTATAGCACATACATAAATCAAAAAATCCTTATATTCCGAGAAGAACACAAGTTTGATTAAATTACCCGAATTAGCGTAGTTTCTCAACATTAAATTATTGTAGGCAATGAATTCTTCACATTGAATTAACCACTAAATCATAGTTTTTCCATCAAACGGAACATTATGATTTTTTAGACTGTCAGTATCTTTACTTCATATTCTATAGATTTTATTTTTCATCTAGCTTTCTGAAAAGCACTTCAGTACCCCAGGAAAGCTTGTGGTGGTCATTTTGTTTTACTTCAAGCTGACATCTGGAGATGGCGAATACAGGCGACAAGTGTAAACCTTAGACCCAGATTTCGGTATTTGTGCAAGTATTTGTTCTAATTCACTTTCCCTCCCAATAAGTCAACAGGTGTCTAGACCAATTTTGGGAGTTGTTTCCAAGACCTAAATGTCACATAGAAAGTATAGTGCTCTACGACGATATGGGTGACATTGGTACTGTCATGTCTTTTCTGACACATATGGCAGTAGAACATATATTCCCTAAATCTCAGTGACATCACCATTAGACACCTCTCTCTTTACGGTGAAATCAACTCTTTTAAGTAATTCCAGGACAACAGTAAGGATTCTATGTTTACCAATTCTTCGAACTCTTCTAGGATATGTGAGTCAGCTTTCTACAGAGAGTCGTTCATGTTAAATTTTGAAAACCTAATACACTTTAAAATATTTTGGATACACTATGTAAACAAACACGAAAAATAAAAATTTACACGCGTAGTATTCCTATGAAAACTATTTTGAAAGTCATTTGTAAGTCAAATAAATATTAAAGAACTGAAAATGTAGCACAGCACTCACGTGGTTAAACATATTCGCGTAAATCCTAGAGCGTTGTCTAGAAAGTTAAGTCACGAGGCTTCCAAATAGTAACATCAAGTCTGGCAAACCATAAATTTTGAAATTTTCTGATAAAACACTGACCGGAGAGAATCTGAGAAAAAAGAATAAAACCTTCACAAAACCGGCGATCAACAAACTCTCTAGGAGCTCGCATTCAGTATTTGTGAAGACGCATGACAGAATTCAGTGACTCCGAATTATAGCCACCCTAAACAAAGCTAACTAATGAAGAAATTGATGACCTCAACTAATTTATGTGCATGAAATGGTTTTATCTGACCATGAGGACTCCCACGAAAAAATGGGAGGTTTTTCTGCAACATATACACGAATATTACCCTACGTAACCATTTTAAACATTGAATAACTTGTATATAGACGTTTATTTCAAATTAATCACTTCTACTTCTTATGCATCTGATTGCTCGCTGAACGTAGTTTCGTTTAGGGCTGCTATAGTTTAGATTCACCCAGAATTCAACTTTCCTGTTTAGTTACAAAGACTGTTTGTGAAGTTTCGACAAAGTATAAAACCGAAAGTGCATTTGAGCTTCAGTGCAGATAAGAACAAGACATCTTTCACGTAAAAAAATACGAAACTTATCTACCATAATTAGCTTTCGGCTTACACAAAACAGTAACCAGTATCAAAAGATAGCAGTTACTTACAGTACATGAAGCCTTCGTACATTGATACGAACAAACAAACAGAATTCAGTATCGTTTTACTAGGTATTATGAACTAAATTGAACCCTAAACATCTATTTACTGACAATCACGTGGTCCTATTACATTTATTGGTAAATTTGGCCATCATTCTTTGATAGCTTAGGATATATCTGGGGGCATGAATAAACATTGGGTTAACAAAATTTTTTACCATTTATATTGCATCTAATTACTTGAATTCATTGTTGATAAATAATCAGTTCGATCTAGATCGTATTATTTACTATCGCGATTATTTAAAATGTTTTCAACTAGCTGACTTACGAGTTTAAATAAAATGAAGGAGAAAACAAATTACAATTGTGAATTAGCATAGATTATCACTTTTTCAAAAGTTCGAATTGTTGAATTATAGTATAAGCAATCGGAACGGATTCTTATAAATGTTAATTTGCAAATCATTCACGAAGGTCACCATCGAAGTTGAGTGACAACCCAAACTTCGTTCCATTTCCTGATGATAGTTATGGTCAATCGATAAACAACATATATCTGAGTGAGTGCTATGCACCCACGTGCTTGGACGCTGTTTCAGGAAGAGAAGAAAATCTTGCGTAGCTGCAAAATGGTATAAAATTCAATTGTGGATAATACATCATTAAAAGTATATTTTACAAGATAGATACAAGAAGAAGCTATTTAGTACTTGAAATGATAGTACACGTTTGCGATGTATGATGCTAACCATATTGGTCTTACCATGGGAAACTATGACATTTTCGATGAAAATATAGTTATTCTGAACCATGGGTGTTGTTGTTATGGTTTTTCATCATCTGATAGTATCTCTAAGCTGAATAACCTAACCTTGGATCTAGCCGTGTGGGAAACATTGAGCTGATTTTATCAACTTTTAGATGCGGTACAGTGGCTGGGGCAAATGAAATTTCCTCAGACTGGAGGTATTGCACTGGAGTCTGTAGTACTAAAGTTAGTTGGACAGCCTATATGGGTAAAGTATGGATAAGTAGACCAAAGCTCTTTTGTTGACAGAAACTCGTTAAGGAGACGCTGGAATTCAGTAGGAGATCGGCAACTACGTACAGGAAGTTGAAGTTCGTTCCATAATACACTGTACTGTATTTTGAAGGAACGTGATCGCAGTTTTGTCCGGTACCGGGTTATGGATAGAGTATTTTCATGATTCCTAACAGTGTATAAGGTTGTATTGTCGAAAGCTATGGGATTACAGTTTTCGATGTAGCCGTGTAAAAGGT